ATGGCTGTGCTTAATGAGAAGGTCTCGCTTGTGCCGGAGGATGACTCGTTGCATTCACCCGATTCTCCTCGGCTCGGGCATCACATTCCACAAAGCGCCAAGACCCCCGGGCTGCCAGGGACTGGTGGAGACAGAAAGCAGCAGTGCGAGGTCCCAATGCTCGATCTTGTGGCGGAGCTTGCGGCCTTTCGTCGCGGCAAAAAGGCCGAGTATGAGCAGGTGGTTCGTCGTGAAAGAGTACGGCGAAGCACGATTGGCACCGGTGCTTCCGGCCTACTTATGCCATCATCGCCCCATATTTCTCTCACACATTACGTTGAAGGCCATTGGAGAGGAGAGGTGAAGGTCGTGCGGAACCCGATGCCAAAGGTGCGGACCGGAACGGTAGACATGTATGGGAACTATTTCGAGAAGGGGTACTTGTACCCATGAATTTTGTACTTAGCAAGATACCCAGTTTCTACTCAAGATACTTTTGAAGTCTACGTCATGCGATCATGTTTTGTAGGAATTTTTGATATTTTCTAAGTCCTCATTTGGACCTGAACCATCCTTCCTCCCAGTCATAACAAGCCGTCGTCAACGGGCTCATAAACATCACAATGCTAAAGGGACATCCAAACTGCCTTCATCGGACAATTGGTGCCGTCTTTTTCATCCTCAGTGTAGAAGCATGGCCGGCAGTTCGGGACCGAGCATCACCCCTGCGATCCGGTCAAGAAGAACACCAATGCGAAGAGTGAAGACAAAATAAAAGAATTCATTTCAAACTAGTTCAATTTTATTTTGTTCATCATGCGACATTCATCTCCTTACAAAGCCTTGGCGGCAGTAGGGGGCTGGAGCTTCTTGCCGTCCTTGTTGAAGCGAATACGGGGAGGGGGAGCACGGTTGCGGCGGCCTTCGCGGGAGCGAACACTATTGGCGAATTATTAGTATTTGAAAGGCGATTGAGTATCGAGGGTGATCGGTGGAAACGTACCGGACAATCTTGCCGTGAATGGCGCAGGACACGCAGTACTGGAGCTTCAAGTACATCTTGGGGACGGAGTACTCAGCGAAGACGGAAGCCTCGGAGATATCACCTGTAAAGCGGAAGTCATTAGTTTCACTGGTTCGTCTTGGAAATTGCTCGAATGGGTCGCAGCCATAGATCTGGGATCTTGTCGTAGATTCGAGGTATTGGGATAGTTGTCACGTACGGATGGCAGCGGACTCGACCATGTTGCGGATGGTGAAGCGCTTGATGGCCTTGTCCTTGGGGGTGCAGCGAGCGCAGTTGGAGCAACGCACAGGCTTGACGTGGCCGCGGCCATTCTTGTTGCGGCCGCTATCAAATCAATTAGTTACCGTGCCCCTGAAGTTGCGAATCAGTCGAAATCCAGTTTCCCATTCTTCTTGTCCGGCAATGTGCATAGGTCGCGATTTTCGATGTATTTGGAGATATATGTCGTGTGCGCTTCCGTTGGCGTCATTGCGGAGATGTCGAATGGGATACTGCTTCGCCGAGATGGGGGGGATTTGTTGGTCTTACTTGTTCGCCCTCTTCTTGACCATTTTGACGGTTTGTTCTGTGGATGGTTAGGTGTTGGTCTGTGGGTGAAGGGGGGAGATAGCGTACGGTTGACTTGTCGGGAGTGGGTTGTCGAAGCTCGCTCACACAAAGTCTCTTTCGGGATGGATTGGATTCCGTTGTGCGGGTAGCCCTAAGCCCTTAAGCGAGACGGGTCACGGGGTTGATGCCTCAAATATTAGGCATAATCACTCGGGAATCACGTGGATCACATGGACAGAGTCACGAGTAGTACGTCCGCCTAATTGGGACTAGCGCCCGGGTCGTACCGTGTCATTCAGTGTTTACGGCTCCTCATCCCCGACTAACGAAGAAACACCCCTGTTGGGATTGACTATTGAACTGCCCATTTTTCTTCTCCCTCCCAGGAATTCTCCTTGCTTTTTTTCTCCCATACCAGTCTCACAACTTAACATCCTTGTTTTGTTTGTGTCATCTCCCTTCCTCTTTCTCCATTTTTTATTGAGACTTTCCCCTTTCGGCATTATTATGTCGGCCACAGGTACTTTTCGGGGAAAGCCCAATCAGACCATCGGTAGAGGAAGGCTGCCCGACTTCGGAAACGATCCCAGTGCCTCCCACATCCCCCGACCCCGGCCAGAATCTTCTGTTACAAATAATACACCCTCCAGCGACGTCGGAAGTGGCACAATGAGCGCCGCAAGTAGCAGACAGCGACAGAACCAGTCGAAACGTGATGAGGTACGTCATGGCAGCCCCCGGGAGCGATCTCCTGATGCTCAATTTGAGCTTTGGCTTTTATCTAACCTCGACACAAGGCTATCCGCCGCAAAATGGAGGCCGACCTCAGCAAAAAGAGGAACGCGCCCGCAAAATCGAGGAGCTCCCGCAAAGCCCCTCCCGGCACCGTGCTCGCCCTAAAGCCTAGCCAGGCCCTCCAGATCAAGCCCGGCATGAGCATCGCGGAGGCCGCTCAGCTTATGGCCGCCAAGAGAGAGGACTGTGTGTTGGTCACCGACGATAATGAGCGCATCTCAGGTATTTTTACTGCCAAGGATCTGGCGTTCCGAGTGGTCGGAATGGGGCTAAAGGCGCGAGATGTCTCTGTTGCTGAGATCATGACCAAAAACCCGCTGTGCGCGAGAACGGACACCAGCGCTACCGACGCGCTCGATCTTATGGTGCGGAAGGGATTCAGACATCTGCCGGTCATGGACGAGAATCAGGATATCTCTGGTGTTTTGGATATTACCAAGTGCTTCTACGATGCTATGGAAAAGTTGGAACGTGCGTACAGTTCATCTCGCAAGCTGTACGATGCGCTGGAAGGTGTGCAAACAGAGCTTGGCTCTAGTCAGCCCCAGCAAGTCATCCAATACGTGGAGGCATTGCGATCGAAGATGTCCGGTCCAACCCTTGAGACTGTCTTGGATGGCTTGCCGCCAGTCACTGTCTCCGTCCGCACCACCGTCAAGGACGCCGCGGCTCTGATGAAGGAAAACCACACCACTGCGCTGTTAGTCCAGGACCAAGGCTCGATCACTGGTATCTTCACTAGCAAGGATATTGTTCTTCGCGTTATTGCTCCCGGCCTCGACCCTTCAACCTGCAGTGTTGTCCGTGTCATGACTCCTCACCCCGATTTTGCCCCGTCGGATATGAGCATTCAAGCCGCGCTTCGCAAGATGCATGGTCAGTCATTTCAATCAGCAATTGAAACCAAAGCATGCTAACTCTACAACAGATGGCCACTATCTCAACCTGCCTGTGATGAACGAGGGTGGTGAAATTGTCGGCATGGTGGATGTGTTGAAGCTTACCTATGCCACACTTGAACAGGTATGTTGATAGTATCAGATCTGACATGGAGACCTTTTGACTGACGTATTCAGATCAACACTATGTCAACCCAAGATGATGAGGGCCCCGCGTGGAACAAATTCTGGTTGTCAATGGATCACGAGTCAGACTCGATGGTCTCTGGCGGCCACAGCCAGCAACTGAATACCCCACACCGCTCAGTTATGAGCCCCGACCTCACTCGCTCAGGCTGCGACAACAGTCTTCTTCCCAACGACTCGGCATCGCACCACGGTGATGACCATTCCGAAGTTGTTTCTCAGCACCAACCAGCAGAGCCAGCTGCTCCTACTCCATTCCCCTTCAAGTTCAAGGCCCCCGGGGGCCGAGTGCACCGTGTGAACGTCCTTCCCACCAGCGGCGTTACCGACCTTGTGTCGCAAGTCACAGCGAAACTTGGCAAGGAAGTCGAGGCCGTTGGTGGCGAGGCCACCGTTGAGGAGGGTCGGCTGAGCAACACAGGATATGCGCTCAGCTACATGGATAACGAGGGGGATACCGTCTCTATCACCACTGATCATGATATGACGGATGCTATCGAACTGGCTCGCCGTACTCACCGCGACAAGGTCAATTTGTTTGTCCATGACCCCGCCCAGCCGCCTATCCCTGTTGAGCCCAATCATGTTAAGATTGTGACCCCCGTTGAAGAGCAAAGCGTTGTTGAGGAACCTGCATCACAAGAGTCCCTTGTGAGCAAGGCCCTGCCCCAACAGCAAGCCGTGCCCTCTCAAGCGCCAGACGAGCAATTGATTGCCGGCGTCCCCAACGACTTGCTGCTTCCCGGTGCTATTGTCACATTGGCTGCAGTTATTGCGGGTGTGTTCATTCTCAGCCGCCCCAGTGGCCGGTAAAAAATATCTCGTCTTGGTCTATTCCCGAAACCTTCCTCTTCTCTCCAAATACTTCACTTTGTCCGATTCAGCTTGGTTATTAAGCATGAGAAAGCGTAGTAGATTCGTTTCCTGTCCGGAGTGTTGCATACCCGTTTTTTTCTCTAATATCGATATTTCGTGTCGCGTTCAGATACCGCTGTTCGTGTGAGCAGTTGCGGCCTTAGTTTAGCCTTCAATGCAAATAATTGTTCGAGATGGTTCTTGATCTGACGATTATATATATATATATCACTATGGTACCCTACCAAATAAGTAAGACTTTGACTGGATTAGCCATCTTTCAGTTCTTTCATAGTTATCCCTGTTCGAATTAGTTGGCCTTGTGGCCTGAAATTGCCGCATTTGGTTTAGCGTCCGGATGCGATTATCGTCACCATGGGCTCTTTATGTTGTCCTTGGATTATTCGTACAGTTAATTGTAGTTTTTGTCGAGAAAGAATCTGACTCAAAGACCTCGATCTCCTCTGTTGAACCTCATTTCTTCTTGTGGTGTGATTAGACTGGCACTTCCATTCTTCTTCACCAAGGGCCTATCCATCTATCGCTCTCCTAATCAGAAATTCTTCTTTTTTTCCCTCTCTCCCCGCCCCACCAAAAACAAAACTCCTCTCCTTCGTTCCACCCCTCTATCCCCACCAACTCACTTATACGAGGGTTGAAAGAACTGGGTTGCTTGGATCGTCTGGAACTTGGGAACAGACACGCCCAACATGTCCCTCCTACCTCCCGAAATCCACACCGCGCTTTCTCAGCTGCTCCGCGCCTTGAGCACACCCGACAATACCGTCAGATCCCAGGCGGAAGACCAGCTCAACAATGACTGGGTTCAGAACCGACCAGATGTCCTGTTGATGGGATTGGCCGAACAGCTTGGCGGTGCAGAGGACACAATAGTAAGTTACACTGGACTCCAGGGGTGCAGTTGCTTGAAAGAGGGGTGTTGCAAACGACCGACAACCAGACTAGCACCCGAATTTCACTATGATTTAGGATGAAAGCTAATGGGAAATTCTTGCTGATAGACCCGTGCTTTCTCCGCTGTGCTTTTCCGAAGAATCGCAACAAAAACCCGAAAGGATCCCGCCTCGGGCGACAACAAGGAGATTTTCTCGTGCCTCCCCAACGAGCAGCGAATTGCCATTCGTGAGAAGTTGGTGACCTGTCTGACGAATGAAACTGTCACCGACGTACGCAAGAAGATTGGAGACACATTGGCTGAGGTTGCTCGGCAATACACCGATAATGGTATGCGATTCGAACTATCTTTGACGAAATGAGGACTCTTGGTTCTGACGATTTCACCTGTGATTTGTAGGCGAACAGTGGCCTGAACTTCTCGGTGTTCTCTTCCAGGCAAGCCAAAGCCCTGACTCGGGCCTTCGAGAAACCGCATACCGCGTCTTCACGACCACCCCCGGGATCATTGAGAAGCAGCACGAAGATGCTGTCGTGGAGGTTTTTACCAAGGGTTTCAAAGACGATAATATTTCCGTATGTCGACATGTGGCTATGCCCTTCAAGCTCAATTTTGACCATTTCATCAGGTGCGGATTTCCGCTATGGAAGCCTTCGCTTCGTTGTTCCGGTCGATCTCCAAAAAGTCCCAGCCTAAATTCTTCGGCCTCATGCCAGACCTTCTCAACATCCTTCCTCCTCTCAAGGAGGCCTCTGAGAGCGAGGAGCTGTCCTCGGCACTGCTCGCCTTGATCGAATTGGCTGAAATCAGCCCCAAAATGTTTAAGGTCATGTTCAACAACTTGGTTAAATTCAGCATCAGTGTCATTGGCGACAAGGAGCTCAGCGACCAGGTGCGCCAGAACGCACTCGAATTGATGGCTACCTTTGCCGACTACGCCCCGAATATGTGTAAGAAGGAGCCGGAGTTCGCACAGGAAATGGTCACACAGTGTCTGAGTCTGATGACTGATGTCGGTGCGGATGACGACGATGCGGAGGAATGGAACGCGTCTGAGGATGTAAGTGTTTGCATTTTTGTCGTTATAATTGACATGCCACTGACTAGTAACAGCTCGAGCCTGAAGAGAACGACCTCAACCACATCGCTGGTGAACAGTGCATGGACCGTCTCGCCAACAAACTGGGTGGACAGGCCATCCTTCAACCCGCATTCTCTTGGATTCCTCGCATGATGTCGTCTACCAACTGGCGCGATCGCCATGCTGCTTTGATGGCCATCTCCGCCATATCTGAGGGTTGTCGCGACCTGATGGTCGGTGAGCTGGACCAGGTTCTAGCACTTGTTGTTCCTGCCCTCCAAGACGCCCACCCCCGAGTCCGCTATGCAGGCTGCAATGCCCTTGGTCAGATGAGTACCGACTTTGCCGGTACCATGCAGGAGAAGTACCACGAGATTGTCCTCACTAACATCATTCCCGTTCTCGCCTCTACCGAGCCCCGTGTGCAGTCCCACGCTGCCGCCGCTCTCGTCAACTTCTGCGAGGAGGCGGAGCGCAGCACCTTGGAGCCATACCTCGGAAACCTGCTCAGTCATCTCCTGGATCTCTTGCGCAGCCCTAAGCGTTATCTGCAGGAGCAGGCGCTGTCCACCATCGCCACCATTGCCGATTCCGCCGAGGCCGCTTTCGATCAGTATTATACCACTCTGATGCCTCTTTTGCTCAATGTGCTCAAGGAGGAACAGGGTAAGGAGTACCGCCTTCTCCGTGCCAAGGCCATGGAGTGTGCTACTCTGATCGCACTGGCCGTTGGCAAGGAGAAGATGGGTCAAGATGCCCTGAACCTTGTGCAGATTCTCGGCAACATTCAGCAAAACATCGTCGACGCCGATGACCCACAGTCACAGTACCTCCTTCACTGCTGGGGCCGCATGTGCCGCGTTCTAGGCCAAGACTTCGTGCCTTATCTGCCCGGTGTTATGCCTCCTCTCCTAACCGTCGCTGCCGCTAAGGCCGATATTCAGCTGCTGGATGACGAGGACCAGATTGAGCAGGTTGAGCAGGATGATGGCTGGGAGCTTGTACCGCTCAAGGGCAAGATTATCGGTATCAAGACCAGTGCTCTTGAAGACAAGAATACTGCTATCGAATTGATCACGATTTACGCTCAAATTCTCGAGGAAAATTTCGAGCCTTACGTCCTGGAAACCATGGAGAAGATCGCGGTCCCAGGTCTCGCCTTTTTCTTCCACGACCCCGTTCGAGTGTCGGCTGCCAAGCTGATCCCTCAGCTGCTGAACTCCTTCAAGAAGTCACACGGTGGCCAGTCCCCCGGCTTCGCTGAAATGTGGAACAAGGTCGCAGAGAAGATCATCGAGGTTCTGAGCGCTGAGCCGACAGTTGACACGCTGGCTGAGATGTACCAGTGCTTCTACGAGTCGGTAGAGGTTGTTGGCAGAAACTCCCTCACCCCCCAGCACTTGCAGGCATTCATCGAATCGGCGAAGTCGACCCTTGAGGACTACCAGATGCGCGTGAAGCAACGTTTGGAGGAGCAGGCCGAGCTCGAAGATGGTGACGAGGAGAACCTGGACTTTGAGTACGCCGTGGAAGACGACCAAAACCTATTGAGCGATATGAACAAGGCCTTCCACACCATCTTTAAGAACCAGGGCAACTCGTTCCTGCCAACCTGGCAGCAATTGATTCCATTCTACGACGCTTTCATCACAAGCCAAGACCCGACACAACGGCAGTGGGCTCTTTGCATTATGGATGACGTGCTTGAATTCTGCGGCGAAGAATCGTGGGCATTCAAGGACCACATCATGCAGCCCTTGGCTTCCGGTCTGCGAGATGAGAATGCCGCCAACCGTCAGGCAGCGGCGTACGGAGGTGGGTGTGGCCGCCCAAAAGGGCGGTGCCGCCTGGAGCGACTTTGTGGCAGCCAGCCTCCCCAGCCTGTTCCAGGTTACACAGCATGCGCAATCCCGCACAGAGGAGAATGTGTTCGCGACCGAGAATGCATCTGCCAGTATTGCCAAGATCCTGCACTACAACCCATCGAAGGTTCAGGCTCCCCAGGATGTCGTGACCAACTGGATCGAGACTTTGCCCATTACCTACGACGAGGAGGCTGCTCCCTATGCCTATTCCTTCATCGCACAGCTGATTGACCAGTATGTCTTCTTAATCAAACCCCCTCATACTCATGCTAATATTTTACTACTAGGCAAAACCCGGCTGTCTTTGCCAAGGCTGACCGTGTCTTCGGTTTCATCGTGCAGGCACTCGAGGCAGCTACCCTGCAGGGCCAGACCGCTGCCCGGGTGGCCACATCTGCCAAGCAGCTGGTGGCAGTGACCGGCGCAAATGCAGACCAGATTCTGGCTTCTGTGGACCCGGCCAGCCAGGAAAGAGTGCGCAAGTTCTTCCAATAAAGCTCAGACATTTTGTTTTATATCCGGCAGAGCTTTATCCCCTTTTTTATTATTTCCCAAATCATTCCCCTCGGTCATGTGAAATCTGAAGTTACCTGAACCCCCGACACGTTTCTTTAATTCTTAGCTCCTACGTACGAATGCCATGAGCTTTAGACGTTGGATTCCACAGTGTGCACGATGTCCATGTAGATGAAATGCCGGCCTTTGCTATGAATATGGCTATGTAAAAGCGAAATGAAACCAAACTATCTACAACTTCGATACCCTCTGGATTTCATTCGCAACCACCTCCTCCAGCCCCATGACCTTCGGCTCCCCAATCAACTCGTTGGCTCGCTTGGCATAAAGCGTCCCGCCTTCACCCCAAATCCGACGCAAAGTGAACACAGTAGCCGCTGGGTTCCCAGCCTCCCACGCCGCAGCCTCCGCCTCGCGCAACTTCGCCAACGATGTGCGAGATACCTCCCACGGCTGACCACCAATTTGGCGCTCAAATTCCGCCTGGATCTGGTCGGGGCTCGTGGTAAACGAATTAACACACAAGGGAGCGTTTTGCGTCTCAGTCGTAGCATGAAGCAGAGTGTTCAGGACAAGAATCCCAACACTAGCGAAATTGTCAGCCAACATTCCCTCCATCCCAACGAGACAAACCCCAAAAAGGAAAAGGAAAAGAAATCTTACTCTTTCATCGTCGTCAAACTAACCTCCCCCTTCTCCTTCTCGCCCAACAAAACAGCCCTCCGCCCTTTAACATCCCACCCACCAGCCGCCTCCATCCCAGGCATGAGATTAAGATACATCTCCGCAAAGGGGCCAGTGACTACATATGAATAGGCGAGGTCATCGCGTGAGATCTCATTCTCAAGATACGCACGCACCTTCAGCTTCTGCTGGTGTGGCTTCTCGTTCGCCGAAGCCGGCCCGTACTTAATATCTGTGCCGTACTCGGAGGGCAGGAACCATTTCACAGTGGAACTGGCGGCTGCAAGTCGGATGAGGGGAATCTGTTGGGCCAGAGTATTGCGGCCTAGTGCTGAAATTACAGTGTCGATTCCTGTTGAGCTTAGTGTTTAGCCTTTTGCTTGGTGGTTTGAGCGGTTTGATATTGAGATCATTATGTCATTATGCATGGATACATGTATCATAGTATGAAGAAAGGGTTTCCTACCTTCGTATGCTGCTTTCACGGCATTCTCATCTTCGACATTACCCACAATCACCTCCACACCTTGCTCTTTCAGCTTGTTCAGCTGTGAGGTTTTGGTTTCGGCTGTGTGCGGGGAAGTAAAGATGGCGATGCGGCCGAATTGAGAGCGCTCGGGCAGGATGGCGTCCAGGATGAATGAACCGATATTGCCCGTTGCGCCAAATAGGAGGATGTTCTTAGCAAGAGACATGGTTGTATAGGTTTGCTATGAGAAGTGAAGAAGTTGATAGTGTAGCCCTAGAGGCGGCGCGAGCTTATGTACAACGTGAAATGTCCACGGGTGGGGTGTCCACCAAGTGGTGGGGGTCCTGCTTATCAATCAATTGAGAGAAGCTCCCAAGATTAATATATAATTGAGATTTTAGTCAAAGATTATAGAATGATGTAGAATGATGGACATGTTGTAAAATGCATTTGGGGCTGAAAGGTGCATAGGTGGTTAGGATGTCTGCACGTCTGATGTAGATATATAGAGTGTTACCACCACCAAAACTAGTAATTAGAAATTGAAATCTTGAATGAATCTTGAATAAACGTATGCCTTTTCTATGCTTAGGACCATTATTGTTTTCTTCTAATAGTGGCGAGTCTTATATCCCCAATTTAGCAAAACTTCTACTCATACAACCGAACTGATAGGTGGGTTATTCGGAAGCCAGAGAGCCGACAGTTATTGGAAGGATCTAAGAAAGAGCAATAGAACCAAATATGTTTATCTTGTATCTCCCAACCCTTAAACTACCATCTCCAAGATCTCCAATACCTGAGACTTCTCCTTCAGTGGCACTGGGTTTGTCTTGCACCAACGATCATGTAGGCTATTCTCCGCCAGTCCATCCAACTGGTCCTGCCCTACTTTGACATCGCTCAAGGATCGAGGCATTCCCAATTCGCGGATGATAGCATCCAAAATATCGCCCAGGTCGGATGCTTCTACGTTGACCGAGCGGGCACGAAGCACCTCCGACACGACCGGGTCTTGGATCAGAAATTGGCGCACGCTAGCTTGTTTTTCGTGGTTGGCGTTGTACTTAGCATTAAACTTACACACAGCTGGGAGCAAGATACAACTGGTTTCACCGTGACCGACGCCTAGTGGGCCAAGCTATAAAGCTGTTAGTCAGACCCATTGATGCGCTTGTGGATTCGTTAGAAGGTAAAGAAAGGAGATCAGTCGCATACCTGATGTCCAATCCCGTGACTAGCACCCAGTTCAATCAACCCGCTAGTACAGGCCGCCATAGCATCCACTGATCCAAGTTGGCACTGTAGATGCGCATCACGGTCTGATCGGTTCTTCTTACAGCGCAGGAGACCAGGGACCAACAATCCCAGTGCACGCTGGGCCAGTTTGTCTGATGCTGAGGTCGTGCCTGACATGGAACACAGATTTTCGACACAATGATCGATGGCGCGCACACCTGTACTGAGCCAGATTGAATCAGGGGTCGTTTTTGCCAGCTCCGGGTCGAGAATAACCAGCTCGGGTCCGCGAATTGGATGTTGGAAGCTGTATTTGCGCTTTGAGCGGTCTTCCGTGCCGCCAGCAAAGTTGGAGTATTCGCCGGCGGAGAGAGATGTTGGCACAGAAATGATCGGGACAGTCGGTGCTTTAATTTCTAATCGCTTTTTGGGGCCTTCTGCAAGGGTTTCAAGTTCTTCAGGTGTATTGACTTGGTTTGCAAGGACCTGAAGGGAATGTTAGGCCGAGAATAAATAATATATCTCTCTCTCTATATGATCTTCCAGATGAAAATGAAAAGAGAGAAGGAGAATATAAAGAGAAATGAAAAATGAATAAAAGTATGAAAGAAAAAGGTAAACCAACTAATGCAATTATCTTAGCACCATCAGTCAAACTGCCAGCTCCAACAGTCAAGAGCAGATCAGCATGCACAGTCCGAACCTCATCGGCAATCTGCAGCACCTCTGACCACAAAGTATGACTCTGCATGCCAATCCAATGACCAACCAGCTTATCTGGCCCCAGAGAAGTCTCCAGTTGGTTCATCACATCGGTATTTCGCGCCAATGATCCTGAGCAGATCACATATACACGCGAAGCCTGGAACGTATCGAGATGGCGTATTATAGCTGCGGGAAAGGCAACGCCATAGGAAAGAAGCGGGCGCTCACGGCCCTCAAATGCAGGTCTAACTGTTTCCGACATTATTAGAGAAGGTGAAAAGGTCAGATCAAGCAAAGCTGCCCAGATGGAAGTAGTTGACCTTAGGTGGGGCTGCGGGGCTTGGCCTTTATCCAATTTATGCGCATAATTATATTCGGTTGACTTCAATCCATTTACCTCAGATCAATTTTATCGGCTATAGAGCTCACTTACTATTTTCTGTTCCATTCAATTTCTATATTGTTTATAACCGGGTCCAACTGAGTATCCAGTTGGTCCTCTAGAAAGATCGTATCACCATTATCACATGGAAGATTTATAGAATGGTAAGAACATCATCTTTCTGGTTTCTATTAGCTTTGATAGTGCGGGCATTTGAGCTGCCTTCTTCGTTTGCACATACAACCATGGACAGCGCTAGCCTTAATGGTAGACCCAGGCAAGGAGTGCAGAAGAATTGCATAGTGACCTCGACTCACTAATCCGACTTGACCGTTCTACTGTTCGTATTTATAATAAAGGATAATATCTTATATCCTTCTGGCTATAGAGCTCTGTACTCGCTTAAATTTTGCATGTTCCCCTCGGTGGTCTTTACACCGAGCGGACATCGCAACATGACATCGCGGAGAAAATCGACTGCGGGGAAAAGACTAGATTGAATGAGATTCGCAGTAAAAATGTCGATTATGAAGCCTTCTGGGTGCTTAGTACGCCGATCCTTGGCCCAATTCTGCAGATATCAACCTCATTTGCCATGGTTCTTCCACCAATCGCGAATATATGCAGCGATGAAGCTTCCTAAATTACACTATTGCATAACTCGTCCATTGCCATCTGTGATTCTCTGTATATTATATACTTATGGGCATCTTGCTACAATATACGGATATATCTCTCCGCTCAATCACCAATGGCACAACTACAGTACAGTGTGGTATTGATTCTTTGGTCTCTTTTCTCGCTATCTGTTGCAGAAACTTGCTGGCGTGATACCACTTGCTCTGGGCCTATAGACACTGCATTCAGCGGGCCATGGGAAAAGAACATATTTGCACCGGCATCCCGGACAGTACGACCAGCCTCAACGTTACCAGAGTTGAAAATCAACGCTGTCACAGACTCCTCACATCCATACAAAGCAGCATTACACGGCAATGGGTCGCTTGTCGTATTTGACTTTGGCATTGAGGTTGGCGGCATCGTCCATCTAAACTATACCTCCACCGGCAGTGGGGCTTTAGGGCTAGCGTTTACAGAAGCCAAAAATTGGATTGGAGAGTGGTCGGACTCATCAAGCGCTCTATATCATGATGGCGCGTTGTATGCAAATATTTCTTCAACTGGAAAGGGCACATATATCATGCCGGACAAATACCTGCGGGGTGGATTCCGGTACTTGACAGTCTTCTTAATCACAGGTGATTCGGCCAGTGTTCAGATTGACGATTTGAGCTTAGAGCTTGCGTTTAAGCCCACTTGGTCGAATCTCCGAGCGTATCAGGGGTACTTTCACTGCAGTGATGAGCTTTTGAACCGCATCTGGTATAGTGGTGCATATACTCTCCAGACGAATGAGGTCCCTGTGAATACTGGCCGTGTTACAAAAGGCGTCACCTCTGGGTGGGTAAACAATGGAACTCTCGGGCCAGGAGACACGATCATTGTTGATGGTGCAAAGCGAGATCGTGCGGTTTGGCCTGGTGATATGGGTATTGCTGTTCCTTCGGCTTTTGTGAGTCTGGGAGACTTGGAAAGTGTAAAGAACGCTTTGCAGATTATGTACAACACCCAGGTGAGTTATGTTGTTTGTTCTGCTTGGGTATAGATCTGACAATTCTGGGAATTACAGAACAAGACAACAGGCGCATTTGATGAGTCTGGGCCGCCATTGAGTCAGAAAGACTCGGACACATATCATATGTGGTCTATGATTGGCACCTATAAATATGTGCTTTATACCAATGACACAGACTTCTTGTTGGAGAATTGGGCCAGTTATCAGCACGCCATGGAATATATATATGGAAAGGTGACTTACCCCAGCGGGCTTTTGAATGTAACAGGTACACGAGACTGGGCGAGATGGCAGCAAGGCTATAACAACTCGGAAGCACAGATGATGTATGTTGTAAATCCATTATGCAGGAGGCTTTCCAACTAATGCGGTCTAGTCTCTATCATACCCTACAGACAGGATCAACTCTCTCTCTGTGGGCTGGGGATTCTACCAATCTATCAAGCACATGGAGCTCCCAGGCCGCCAATCTCAAAAAAGCAATCAACACCTACTGCTGGGACGAGTCATACGGCGCATTCAAAGACAACGCAACCGAGACCTCTCTGCATCCACAAGATGCTAACAGCATGGCTATTATGTTCGGCGTTGTAAACGAAGAGCGCACAGCCAGCATTTCCAAAAAGCTTCTCAAGAACTGGACCCCCATAGGGGCCGTGGCTCCTGAGTTGCCAGAAAACATTGCCTCGTTCATATCATCTTTCGAGATTCAAAGTCACTTCATTGCCCAAGAGCCTGCACGAGCGCTGGACCTCATTCGTCGCAGTTGGGGTTGGTATATCAATAACCCGAATGGTACAGAAAGCACCGTAGTTGAGGGTTATCTCAAGAACGGGACTTTCGGGTATCGAATGGACCGCGGATATGGCTATGATCCATCATATGTCTCACATGCGCATGGCTGGTCCTCCGGTCCGACCTCTGCATTGACGGAGTTTGTTGTCGGTCTCTCCGTGGCCTCGCCACTAGGATTGACATGGAAAATTGCGCCGCAATTTGGAGATCTGGAATTTGCCGAGGCCGGCTTTGTAACCTCCCTTGGGAAGTTTGAAGCTTCTTGGATTTTGAATTCGAGTGGATATGTGTTGACGTTCTCGGTACCAAAGGGTACTGTTGGGAATGTTACTTTGCCCTATGTCACTGCGTCGAAGAAGCCTTCGATTACCATTGATGGTGACCAGTTGACGAGAGGAGTGGCTTATGTTGATGGTACTGCAACTGTTAAAGTCACTGGTGGCTCTCACAGGGTGGTTGTCAAATAAATATTGACCATGCACCAGACGAATTCAATGAACTATCTAGATATTATAGTAGTCCAAGAAAAAACACAATCTTATTCCATCAAGACGGTATACTATGCAGATCATACCATATCACGTGCATCCCCACACTCCGTCTCCGTCACCCGCCAATCCTGCCCTCGACATTCCTCATCCGACGAACCAAGCTCAAAATGGCCTCCACTCTCCGTCAGAACCCATGGCGGGCCTACCAAAGCCTCACCCGGCAACAACTCCGCACAACACGCCTCTCCTCCCGGCATCTCTCCACTACCTCCCTCCGCTCCAATGCAACCAATAACCCCCTCCGCTCCCGAGCATCCGCAGCGGCGGATCTCCAGCACGCCTCCCAAGCTCAGCGGAAGATGATCCTCTCCGCAGTTGGCATGATTACCTGCGCAGTCGGTCTCTACGGTGTCATCAAGCTAGACTTATTCGGACTTAACGAACTAGACGCCAAAAAAGATGACAAGACCGCAGCCACCTCCGCACCCCCGAGGAACGGCGCAATGCGCATGGATGGACCAGTCGGCTTCCCCAGCGGCGGTCCATCATTAATAACAATACAAGGCCAAGACAGACTCGAGCAAGTGCCAACAGGAACAAGCACGATCCCCACCTTCCCAAGCACAATCCGACTCCCCTCATCCGAGGCAACAGAAGGCAAGCAAACAGGCGACGATCTAGCTCCATCTACAGGCGAAGAATACCAACTTCTAGGCCTTGGTATCCGCACCGTCTCCTTCCTCTCGGTCCAAGTCTACGTGGTCGGCCTGTACATCGCGAAATCCGACATAACCGAACTGCAACGGCGCCTCCTGCGCACAGCAGTCCACCCACCCAATACTGATGCCCAATCCGCTATTTCTGGCGCCGGCGCGGACGCTGCTACTTCCCTCGTCTCTCCGGAGCGCCAACAGCTCAAGGAGCTTCTCCTTGACCCGGAGCACAGCGATGCCGCCTGGTCTGCCATCCTCAAGGATGACGGCATCCGCACTGCATTCCGCATCGTGCCTACCCGCAACACAGACTTTATGCATCTTCGCGATGGCTGGGTGCGTGGTATTACTGCGCGCGCGCAGGCGAAGAAAGCTGCGGGACCGAACGAGTTCCAGGATGAGAGCTTTGGAAGCTCGATGAATGATTTCAAGGCTGTTTTCGGTGCGGGCAAGGGGAAGGCGGTGCCGAAGGGACAGACGCTTGTTTTGATGCGCGATGCGCACGGCGCTTTGGATGCGCTCTTCCAGCCTGGGGCTAATGAGCCGGTTAAGTGGATGGGTCGTGTCGCTGATGAGCGGATTAGTCGACTTGTTTGGTTGAATTATCTGGCTGGCAAGACTGTTTCAAGTGAGGGCGCCCGGACGAGTATTGTCGAAGGATTGATGTCCATTGTTGAGAGGCCCCTTGGCACCGTTGTGCAGAAGGTTATCTGATCTGTTTTTTGGGGGGCTATGGATTTGGTTTTGTTTGTTTGTATTAACATACCTGTACGTTAGTTAGTCGCTGTTCGATTTTTTTTTACCCTGTGGCTCTACAAAATATTCCAGAGCTATACGACAACGCTCCACTCAATATGCATCTTAACGCTGGAATATATTCGGGCTCTCTTGATCCTCCAATCCCAAGCCATGGAGATATTCCCCCGCAGTTTACAAATCTACTAGACCTAGGAAATGAGTGAAAGGCTGTGCAATAAGAAACTACCTTAGTTTATATTCAAGACTCGGGCCTCGGGAGATTCTTGCTTGTATGACATCACTGCTTAGATCGCACCAGCGGCCTTGAGCAGCTCCTTCAGGTCCTTCTTCCCCTGGAGGTCAGAGTTTCCGCCGATGTGCTTCTTGTTGATGAAGATGTTGGGCACGGTGCGCTGGCTTGAGATCTCGGCGAGGGCGCTCTGGATGGCAGCTCCCTCCTCTATGGTTAAAAAAACTCATATTAGCGATTGATTTGAAAAAGAGAGATAAACATGTGTGAGAACTATGGAGGCGAAAACCACTCTTCTTGCGAAAAGAATTCAATAAACAACGCAAAGAGCAAAACAGAAAAGACTCACCCTCCAGATCTAACTCAAGGGTAGTGTACTTCGCATCCAAGCTGTCAAGCAACTTCTTGGAAGAGTCACAGTAAGGGCAGTATGACTTGGAGAAAACGACGACGGCGTTGTCGTTAATGAGGGACTGAGCGCGGGTCTTTGCGGCGGACATGGCGGCGGGATTTGGGCCGGCGAAGGAGCCGAAAAGACGGGTGAAGATGGACGAAATGGTGGGCGGTTTGTGACGAAAGGAGAAGAGGCAGTGTCTCTTTTTATAGGATGGAGCGGGGTACAGGTACAAAGATGAGAGGATTGGTTGGCTATTCCGTCAAGATTGCGGGATTGGATGCGGCGATGATGTCAGGTGATATTTGTCAGCTGGGGAGCTCCCCCGAGGCCGAGACTGTTTCTCTTTTGGGTAATGTATGTAGATGGCTATGTCTAGTTCGTAGATGGCTACAAAGTACAATTTAATATATCTTAAACTAGCTGGCTGGCGTGGGATCTACACGTTTACAACAAATAGCAATTTATGTGCAGGTATGTATTCATCCATTCAACCTGATATCTGAGTAGCTCCGTAAGCAATTATCTGGCATTAAAATGCGAGCAAATCCAGGTACTTGACTGCTCAAGCCAATAGGCAGATCAGGCCAAAGAAAGAGGAGAAAATTACTAGCAAGAAGGCTTGGGAGTATGGAAAAAAAGGCTTTGGAAATGTTTCGGAGAGAAATCCAAAATATTGAAGAAAAGAAAGGAAACCATAGGGTCAAGAAAGTCAAAGGCAGGTATAAGATGAGAATGGAGAGGCGCACACCTCAATTGATGCTTCTTGCGAGGTGCGAGTCCCTCACTCCCATCCTATCCATCGCAATCTGGAGCGATTTCTTTTGGAGTTCCCTCCTACCACTTCGATAGGAATGGCAATGATCACAGAGAAGAGAAGGGAATTATCAAGGAATGAATGCAAGAGAGAAAAAAACAAATAGCCATGCTCTGGTGTTGAAGAAGGAAGCCAGATTAAAAATCAGTCCGAAGAAAATTGAACTCAAGGCGAAGAAATGCCCTAGATCGCAGGATATAAAGTCACAGAAGAACCGACAGAACACCATCCCGCCGGAGACGCTGGAAAAAAAAATTAACAGAGAAGGGAATCAAGCAGATGTGCAAATATCAAAAGGTATGTTGGAAAGATGGATGAGAAATTGGACAGATGGTTATAGAATGGGAGTCCATCACATCACAATGCAGCATCCGCAGCTCTTATCTTTCTTTGGTGGCTGCTGCGCGGTAACAACTGGAGGGTTCCAGTTGGGGTTAGGATTGGGTGGTAGCCCCATTGGAGGTGTGTCCTGCACCTTTGGCATGGTACTGTACCCGGTACTCGTATTCGGGCGGGGTGGTTCAGGGCTCTTTGATGGCGGAGGCGGCAACTCTTCGAGCTGTAGAGACTCAACAGGTTGCTGTTCTGGCTCAACCTTGGTGGCCACGGGACGTGGCGCGTCGAATGGGTGCACTGCGAGGGGCGCGAAATGGCGGTCGTATGTGTTCGGTGTCCGGCCTTCCTTCTCCCACTGTTCCTGCATAATCTTTTTGGCGACAGTCGGGATCATCTGCTGGTCTGGTGGAAGACGAGGATCGGGCTTGTACATAGTTGCCAACCACGGTGGATCTCCTTCGGGCCGGTTAGCGGCTGTTGTAGGACGACTTTCACCTGACCGAGTGGTAGGGCGCTGTGTGTTATTACCGGATACAGCACGAGATCGAGGAGTGCTCGCCTTCCTGCTCGTAGGTGGAGCAGAGGTCTTTCGGTTGGTAGAGCCGGTGTTCTTGACTATCTTCTTGCCCGGTGTGTTTTGGGTACTGCTGAATCCGCGGCTGCCCGGTCGGCTTCCTGGAGAAGGAGTCGAAGCATCTGGCTCAATGTTGATAGGTTCACTGGCTCTGCGGCTGCGTGAAGACCTGTCATCTTCATCTGTTGCAGCACGACTCCGTGAACTGCGAGAATCGCGGCCCATGGCGCCGGATATGGGAACTGGACTAACTGTAGAGACGGGGATTCGGGATGCGCTTTTTCCAAGGCTTGGATGGCTGTAGATGCTGGCGGCTGCATCGTCTGCAGCAATCTCCTCTGGTCGGCGGAGATCCCAATGTTCCCGCTCGTCGTCGTCTACATTGCCATTCACATCCCGCTTGCCGGGTTCTTCCCTCATTTTCGGCCAGGGCTCGGAGTATTCTGCAGCAGGTGAGGTCGCCGTACCAGTCCCATTAGCAGCGTTCTGCTGTGAATCATGGCTCCTCCCACGTCCCCCACTCGATTTGCTTTCTCCTCTCATCCGTCGCTGGAAGAGGATGGCTGCCTGGTGGAGCTCCTCACTCTCGATCTTTGCCAGCTTGTCTCGGTGGATCCATTTTTCCTGATTCGTCTTTCCGTCCAAATACAATTTAAGGCCATCATCGGCCTCCTCGGGCTCTTTAGGACCGGCTGCCTCGTGACCAAAAGCATCTCGCATACTGCCTACTTCACTTCCATGTCGGTTGAGACTGGGTTCCCTCCGTCCTCGGTTTGAGGCTAAATAGGGCGATTCATGTGTGTGGACAGTGCGAGAGACAGAGGAGCTGCGTGAGCCATTCGAGTTGCGCTGTCGAGAAAATTTTGCGCGGATGGAATTCGAGTCGTGCGAGTTGCGCTGTTTCGATAAGTGGTGATTCTCCTGCGGGGAAAAGGGGATCAGCGTTTTTTTTTTCTTTTCCACGTTCTTGGGCTACCAGGTCAGTCACTGGAATGCCACACGGAATAATCTTACCTCGTTCGCAAGTGGCACCGCGAAATCCCATTGCGAGCCATCCACGGGCGATGCTAAGGCATCTGCAGAATATGCCGCTGTAGCGACGCCCGCCATTCCAGAGGTTATTATTCACAAACGAAAAGGCCAGTCCAGCTGCAACCCGGTTTAATAGTAGAGATTGCCGTAGAAATTGGTTTGTCGGATCAAGCCATTCCAGGTAGAGTCGGAAAGTGGAGTGTGTAAGGGGGTACACCGAAAGCAGCAAATTGTCAACACACCAGGTTGACCACAACTGCAGGGGGTGTTCCACGGGGTTTGTCCAATTTGTGCAGTTTCAAGTAAGAGACAGGTGCTGGAGGGGCTGGTCCCGTGGAAGACCTCGAAGTCTTGCGGGGTCCGGGAGGTTGAGACAAGGATGCGATTACCGCAAGGTGAAATGAGAGTTGACAAGAATAGAGAAGAGAAGAGAAGAGAACGTCGAAGGTGAAAAAAAAAGAGGGAGAGTGTAAGGAGAGAGAAGGTTGTAGGTAGCCAGACTAGGAATAGTCATGGAAATAGCCTGGACCAAGTCCGAGAGAGGCTTTGTAACTACGAGCTATATGTTATAGGGTATTTGTTAATGCATACTCCCACACATGCATCATATGTCCATCTTACATATTAATCAATAATCGCTCTAAATCTTCAGACTATTTAATAAAAAATTATGAGGATTCTCGCAACTTTAGTCCTGGGCCGTGCGTTGCCCCTGAGCCATGTTGATCACCTCGAGATGAATTGATCTAGACGGCGGAAATGTATTTATTTGAACTTCGCCCCCAACTTATTGTATACTTACATGAAATAAAAGGAAGCGAGAGAAAAAAAAAGTGTGTATACATGCCGGCAAATCATTCTGACAGGTTTAGTCTTTGGGGAAATCGCAAAAGTTGATATATCACAAATACGCCGATGCCCTCCATGCAAAGAAACATCCCGAGGGAGTGGACAGGTCCCAGCAAATGGAAACTTGACCGCCAGAGCAGTGCCCCGGTATGAGGTAGATACATGTTGTACATGACTATGTACGGAATACGGAGTACTCCGTACGTATGTCTGTAACCCAATTTCAAATCCCCCAAAAGTATGGACAACGGGGGAACCGAGTAGGCAGCTGGTAAGATCTGTTACAGCTTTGCAATTGCATCCAGCTTGTTGAGGGTGGCCTGCGTATCCTTGATGAGGGCCTTGCGTGCACTGCGGGCCATCTCATCGCCATCTGGCTCGATACCATCTGCCTTGATCTGGATTTGTGTGAGGATCGTCTCGCCCAGTTTCTTATGTTCATAGTCCCGCTTCTTTGGATCACTAGGCGGGTTCGCAATGTATTCCTCACAAATCGGCTTCATCTCCTGCTCGAACCATTCGGTTAAAGCAGTGACCTGTTCCAGCGGCGTACGCATCAACTTGATGTTGGGCGGGGCTGCGGGGACACCGGAATGGCCTGACGACGTAGGCCGTGGTGGCCGAGACGGGGCGGGGGATTCTGGGCGGACGGGCGACTTCTTGCCATTGCGTTTCTTGTTTCTCGATTTCTTGCTCTTTCCCGAGGGTGTGGGAGGGGACGATGCTTCTCCTGCACTATTTGGGCGGGGCAGCGGCGGCGGTGTCGGCGCATGCACAGTTACAGGAATGGTTTGTCCGTCGTCGGAGCCATCACTCGGGGATCCCGCTCCTGTTTCAGACACCACGCATAGCACCTCGGAGTGCTGCTTGATCCCCTCAGCTTTGCATGTCCGCGCATTGTTCTTGAGTAGCTTGCCCTTGTACAGGAGTCTCACACAGTCCGGGTGACCGGCTCCTGTGCTCTTAGCAGCAGCGTCTCGTAGGTCTCCGATGGTCAAGACACCGTCGTCGATCGCATATGCACGGAAGTGCAATGGGTAGATGGTGCCGCGGTGGCGGAGGGCAATAATATCCGGTTCGGCGTCGTCTACTGAAGGGTCCGCGACGTCTGCGGGTGAGATGTAGCTAAAGTCCTCATCGCTGACCTGCGGGTTGGATGCGGGAGCGTAGCTCGGCGAGCGCCGTAGCATTCTTAAGGGGTTGCGCCAACTCATCACAGTAATGGTGAACAGAGAGATAGCAACAGCTGCGAAGAGGGCGAGAGGTTGATTGTCGGGGGAAAATGGCAACTTTTTCGCGATAGGACCGAGGGACGTGTTGGACAGATAGGCGAGAACAGGATTCAGTTGATGGCGGAGGGAATGTAAGTGAACGGGGAGGATGTCGGTGATATGTTCTATGTAGACTGCGCACTTCTCGCCCAAGGTGGACTGAGCGAGGGTCGGAGGCAGTAAAGTCATGGATCTCTGTGGAGGGGAAGAAAGTGCAGGTGGTGGTGAAGTCATGCCCCCAAGTAGTCCGGAATAGGCAGATAAGGCGGAGAGTGCTTTTTTTGCCGTCGCATTGAGCAATTGATGTACTCCCCACGAGGGTGTGTCTGCCTAGTGGATTGTCTGATTTCAAGTCGGTTATTTTGGTGTTGGGATTTTGGCGACATTTGGAATGGTTGGGATAGGTCGACGGATGCCTTGTGTACCTTGGGGTTGCCTGGGAGTGTGGCGATACTTGAGGCCTGAGGCAGATGTGTTACAGCTGTAGGTCATACTAACATTCTATCTATGGCGATACATTTTCCATGGTTCAGAGTATTCAAGTGCCTTTTGGATATCTCAGCAAAGACAGCTCCTCATTCGTTGTAATATGGAGGCTCTTTCACGACGTTGAGTAACCCAATTTGACCTCGATCGGCGTGTATGTGCAAAAACGCGGGGTCTTACAGCTCCCCACCTTTTGTGATATGTGTTAAGATATCAACTACATAAGTTATTAGTTGGCTAGTCAACTATCTTAGTATGAAGAGAAATTCAAAGGAGACAGTAAACTATTAAAGCATGTCCACGGCTTAGGATACAGAATAACTGGCTATATAACTATTTATCTCCTATCTTCACATCACAAGCACAAGTGGCTCAGTGGTAGCCTTCGTGGTCTAGTTTGGTCATGACGTCGGTCTCATATCCTTCCAACCTTGGTAACAAGGTTTCATATGACATTCTTGGTAACAAGATTGACATCCGAAGGTCTCCAGTTCGATCCTGGACGAGGGCATCTTTTTTTATTCTTTTTTGTGTCAGCTGCATATCCACCCACTGGAATGTCCTTTTCCCCGTATGGAGATAAATTCTGCTGCTGCCGTTTGTTTGCATTTAGCCTATTGCCTCGCTGTTTGCTAACGACCTGTTCCCTTCGGAAAGATCTACAGTGCTAACTAAGGTCACCAATTTTATTACACTCAACTATACCTAAGTTAGGTAGGTTTATCATCTTATACTTGCCTGGCTCTACCATACACGCTACCTGTTCGTGCTAAACACCGCGTGGATCTATAGACCAGGTACTTGCATACATGTGTATCATACAGAACCCGGGTAATTCTCGGCGAACACATGAACCACGTCTGGGTAGGAGCTCCCACCGTCAACATGTAAGGGAACATCGATTTGCCTATTTACACACTTTCTGTACCGTTGTAGTTACCAAATGGCATAGGCAATTCAGATTCATCTCGATTGTATCTAGATCTTTGGGAGGTATTGTGGTTGGCCTTGACGAACTAGGTTGTACATGTAAAAGCGCCACCTTGTAGCTGTTGGGATACGCACACGTCCGCTTGGTATCTACAACTACTACTATATCTCGGCCGTTGATGGTAAGCTCTCTCGTGGTGTAAAGTAATAGTACGCATCAGACTGTCGACTTCCAGTGTTCGATGTGCCTACCTACATGTAGATACACAAGAAGATTGTTCCAGACGTCAGCCCTATTCACTCAACATGGCCGATGGCTGTGCCATGTGTAACAACAGCGGTACAAATCCCCTATAGATGACCAAATTGGAATACCTACGTGTAGTTTGTTCGGTGTAACTATGCATGGTTTTGGTTTTAACTTTCCGGGTTATTGCGCGGGTGAAACTAACCTTGTTTAAACATTTATATCCATTCTATCTTGTGACTTTGCTCTATTAGCAAGCCTTACCTTGGCTTGGATAATTGAGTGATCTTCATATCAGGCAGGGGATATGGAGTTAGTTTGTTAAGTCGCTCCATGCCATTTCCTTGCTCTGCTGTTGCTCACTAGCTGCGTATTCTGTATACTGTCTACAGACTATGTACGTGTGGGCGTCAATGGGTGCTTACCTGATATACTAGATTTCCTTCGGGTCATTGTTGTATGTGAGTAGTATAGGACCCTTTCGATTGGATCACATCTATATATATATATATATATATCCATCTCTTCCGCCGTGCCGGTGTTGAACGAATTCACAGCGACATATAAATAGCTTGTCTGTTATGACTATCTAGCCGAGAAACAGTTGCAGGGGTAGGTATGGAGGGGGGGAAATATATGCCACATGTCTTTTCTTGGTTCCGCATCCAATAGATAAACGAGCCCATATAGCAGAAAGGATACATCCATCGCCGATACTGAGGTCAATCACTCCGGTCTCTCTATAAATAATGTCCTACTGTATTATATTCACCATTTTGGGCGACCCATGCCTTGAGACTATGTCAGGTTATACACATAGCTTGCGCTCGGCATTTTGTGGCGATAACAAGTATCTATGCTCTTCCTGTATTCACCCTACTTCCTAGTGGGTTGTCTGCAGCCCCATACCATATGCCAGGGTAGATATTTATATGCATTATATTATTTGGTTGTTGGTGGGGCTTCGGGGATACAACAGCATCAATTGTATGTGTATTATGGCCGCGAAACGTCTGTCATTTATAGGTGACCATCAAAACATAGTGCAGCGACTTATTTCCATCTAGGTCTGCATAATTTCAAACTAGGTATTACGGCATTACTACTATATGGATTTAGCTTATGCATTCTAAATGAAGGCCCACCACCGAGGAAGGCGACTATAGACAAGGGATACAAGAGCGGCAAGAATAAGATACAATTTCGAGGTAGTCCCGTGGTTTTCTGGGCTCCATGGGAATAAACAACCACGACTCGTTGTAACTTAACTTTCTTGGCCAGCGTAGTGGCCTTGCTGTGTTGTAGTGGTCATGCGATTAGACATGTATATATTGATTGGTTCTCGTTGGTTGGTTTTGTTTCGGTAGGACTGTTAGGATCGGATTTATGGGTGTACTATTAAACATACGTCTCAACGCAGCTAGGACTAGCCTCAAAAGCCAGTTGGTAGACACTGTTCGTTTTATACTGGTCGCTATTGTCCAAAACAGATTCAGGCGTGTTAGCTGGAAGTATGTAGTGATTTTGGCGGTATAGGTACGACATGGGAGTAAGAGCCCTGTGACTTTATGTATCCAAGCATACAACCTCTCCTGTTCGGATCTGACATATTCCACCTTGCTCGTTATATGGAACTAACTACTAAAAAAATGTATGCGAGTTTCCCAACATCACACAATATATATCGACGGATGCCGTGATACACCACATAAATAGTCGATATTCGTTTGATCATGACAAACCCCATTGAAAATAAAGCTTCAGGTAACCAATATAATCGGCAAATCTCTAATAGAAAATTGCTTAAATTTGAGAAGAATTTCGATTTGCAGCTTAACTGGTAGTTTTGGTCGATAGTGTCATTAATTGGCGGAAATTTCATAATCGGTCCGAGTGGTCTATCAGACAACCCGGTCGACAGCCTTCGTGGTCTAGTTTGGTCATGACGTCGGTCTCATATCCTTCCGACCTTGGTAACAAGGTTTCATATGACATTCTTGGAAACAAGATTGACATCCGAAGGTCTCCAGTTCGATCCTGGACGAGGGCATCTTTTTTTGTCCCTCTCATCCAGAGAGGAAGTGGGTACGATTCGCCCAATTTACTGGACATGTGGTTGGTTTTTGGGGGTTTTAATTACTTGTACGGATTCGTATGAGGATACAAAAACAAAGCTAAGAATAAAATACCATGGCCTCTGAAATCTCTATAGAATCGTTCAATCTAAATATATATGTTCTGTGTATAATTGAGAAATTGAAAACAAACTACTCCGTGATACATGTAGTAATGAGACCCTTTATGTTAAGGACTATTCAGCCTTCATTTCGGCTCCCATGGGGGACTGTTCATAGATGATAAAATGTTGCTCTTATCTCATCACAGCACAAGTGGCGTAGTGGTTGCCTTCGTGGTCTAGTTTGGTCATGACGTCGGTCTCATATCCTTCCGACCTTGGTAACAAGGTTTCATATGACATTCTTGGTAACAAGATTGACATCCGAAGGTCTCCAGTTCGATCCTGGACGAGGGCATTTCTTTTTTAATTTTTTCTTTTGTGTTTCCCCCACGGAGAGTACGCAGGGCGCTGAATGTGTTGTTAAAGTCTGTTAGATTTTTTTGGGGGGTTTTGGGGGGGGGGGGGGGGGGGGATGTTCAAATTCTATAAAAATGTTCAATTGGTGTATCCAAGCAACGGAGAAAAAAGTATCGAGTTATGTACAAGCAAAACGACGTATATTACACTGTCCAGCAGTTGAAGAGATTGAAACACCACAATGTAAGTGCTCAACCTAGGCGCAGACGACCAGGCACTGCCCGACCTCCAAATAGCGCCGAACCTTCTTCTGTGGTGTTATTATCACCCGACATCCACCGTGGAAGTCGGAATGGCTCGCCCTGGAACCACTGAGGAGTTTTCGTAGTATCAAATGTGTTTTTGACGCGATGGGCAAAGGACTGGAAGAAGTTCTCGTCTTCCCCATTCTCGCCTTCTACAATAGTAGGCGCAGCAACTGTCCTCTGAGAAGGCTGAGAGCCCTCCGAAACAGGGACTCGCAGTCGGGACGAGCCGGGAGAACCTTCATCTTCACGATCCGACGCCCAAGTCGAACGACTACCACGGGAGGACACTGCCAGAGAACCGAAGCCGTTCAATTCTCGTTCAATGAGGTCGCGACCTTCACGCCAGCCACCCATGCCATACCCTGCAGGGTTGTTTTCAACATCGTGGATGTCATCATCCTCTGCAAGGCCGCACCCGAAGATATTCTTGATACGCCCATACAGGTTGAAAAGTGTTGCACAGATAGGCAGAAGGATAAGGATCGGGAAGATGAAATCAAACCCTTTCCCGAGGGGCGTCAGGTTGATGAGCTTACCAAGAAATTCGTAGAAAGTGGTACTTCGCCGAAACTCTTTCGGTAAGAAGGTCAAGAAGTTGTAGGCAATTGGTACCGTCAGCCGAGCCACGAGACCAGCGTACCAACATGCACTCTCGCCATAGGTATTACGACGGACAAGTGCGCGGTTTCCCCACACTTTGACATCGCTGACACCAACAAGAGCCGCCGAACACATGTATAATAGCCAGGCAGAGGCTATGAGCTGACCACCGAAGCCAACTGGGTTGTTTTCCCAGTTGGGGACAACGGTCAAACTCACGGCGGAGAGATGGGGCGCCAAAGACTTGATTAGCTCTGACCAAACAATGCAAGCTGATGCCACTGCGAAGAACGCGCCAAATGCCAGCCTGACCGAGGGAATGACGTTGGAATACAGCTGATACCGCATGTACGGGTTGAGGAATTTCACACGAGGGATCCAGGATGACCTCCGTGGGGCCGGTGCAAATTCGAGCTTCTTTGAAGCTGCGGAATTTATGATAGCCTGGAGATCGGCGGATAACTGGACCAGACGATCCCACTCATCCACAAATCGAGCCTTCATATGCCGAGCACGCTGAAGCCGCCGTGTAAGGTCGGCCAGGTAGCGTTCCGTTATCACAGAAGGGATTGTGGCGGATGTATCCGGGGACTCGAGGATCGGGGCCCGCACGTCAGGTTGGCCGTGTCCTTCCTGGAGTTCTTCAATCCACTCCTGAAAGTCACGAGCAGTTCCTGTCTTACGGCGCTGTAGTTGAGAAACCTGGCCATTGAGATTCGCCAACTCATTGACCGAGTCCATGAGGCGATCGTGCACCTTGGGCGCATGTGCCTGGATTCTGCGTAGCCGACCGCTCACATTGGAGTTTCGGAGCAGGTTTCGCGGGATCGAAACAAGACCGTGACCCATGAGATAGATGGCAAGGACGAGACCCCACACATATGCCAATGCCATGATGAGACCTTTGATGGATCTGAATTCGAAACCGTTTGAGATCGAAACGTAGATCAACCCCACCAGAGCACATCCCAGGACAATCAACTGGTATTTGGCGTTCGATCGAAGAGAGTACATAAGCCGGCCTTTAGGCTCACGGTAGCCCGAGTCGACGTATTCACCGAGTAATGGGAGGATAACCCTGTGAGAGAGACAAGAATAAGTGACAGCCCTTGGCCAAGCCGAAGAACACGGGACACTTACCAGGTGAGAACGAAGATTAGCCAGTAGGCAATACGCCAGCATACTAGAACCATTCGCTCCGGTAGCCAGATTGCTTTGGGGCCAGATCCATCTCGCGAACTCGATGCCAAATCGATGGGGACAAGAAGCACAACACTGGCGGGTAGAGCCAGAGCCAGGAATATAGGGACACTTAAATACGCGGGGGTGGCGCGGAGGGTGAGAAAGCGTCGCAGGAGAAGTAACACAAGTGCGGAGATGAGGAACAGGGCAAATGCGAAAAAGACGTTCGAGCCCACCGAGATGGGCGACACAGATACGGGGAACATGCTGAAGAAACAGCGTAAGCCAAAGAAGGGAAAAAAAATTGAAGAATCAGCCGCTGTTCATGGCGAGATCTAGGGCGCAAATGAAAGAAGCGACCAGACGTTGTCAGTGGAAAGGTAGAAAGAAGTGTATATATAGAACAGGCCCTGGGGGGTTGACGTTTTGGGGCCAGGAGAGTGGCTGACTTAAGGTCTGACTAACCGTGTCTGGAGTACTGTAAGTACTGGGGACTTTACTTTGGTCGTGTGCTCAAGTGTATAGTGGAGTACCTGGTACCAGCCACAGCCTCCTTGATATTCTGACCAATTGGTTCCTCCGGATCAGGTCAGGGCTAGAACGCCTTGTCGATCTTGATGGGAACTGAATCCTTTTCCTAGTCCATTTTTTTTTTTTTTTTGCTTTTAGACAAAGATTAGCAAATAAAAGCCGATTCAATGTCTAGATATTATGTACTACCTGTACATATGTACAAAATATATACTCCGTACTTTTTATATACCTGTATGGACATGAATATATCGGGCATTATTTTAAGATCCACACCATGACGACGTGTTTTGAGCTTCTTAAGTAACGGCCTTAAAAAAAAGGGATCGTCAGGATTTGCAATGTATTTGTAGTACATGTAAAAAAACGTGACAGCAGGGTGACCTCGCCAATCAGTGGAAACACACGCAAAACCATAAGTACCCTCAGAGCTAGCCTTGTGACCCTCCCGATAATATCACAATACCGAATAAATACGAGCCTATTGATACGCGCCCATTGATGCCATTCTTAATCAAAACCCTCAATGGGATGAATAGACAAGTCCTTTGATTTCATTTTGTCACTTCTCATTCATTTATACCCTAAATCATACATAATAAATCCCCCCGCCACTTCTTTCTTTGCCTCCTTAAGATCTGTGCACTCTCTTTGTTTCAGTGTTCTGACTCTCGGTAAGTACTTCTTTTTCTCTACCAAATCTTGTCATTGTGCAGAGAGGACAGCAACGGAGGCCCGGTGCGACTTGAGAGCTGCATGATCCCTGTCACGGATCCCATCCACCCTACAATTGCTCTCATTCGCTCCAAGCCACAATCAGGTGCTGGCCAGCGAATTGAATCCATCTGACGCTGGTGCCCGAACGCCTTGCTTTCCTCGTTGTGTTGGTCGGTGTTGGTTCCCTCCAGTCCCTCCTGTCCTCCGTTTCGTTCATTTCCCACCCATCCCCACCCTCCCTGATCGACTCGAATCACGGTTCCACACCAGCACCTGCTTACCTTTTTTTTTCTCCCTCCCGCTGATCACTCGTGTTGAACTTCCTTGCGTCTTCATCACTAATCTTGCGACATCTCACAGTTGCGCGTACTCCAGCGAATGCCAACCGTCAAGAAGCCTCTTCGTGGATTTCTCATTAATCCCCCATTGATGGGGCATCTGCTATGAATCCCGGAGAGTTCCCCAACCCGGGCGCGGGGCCTGGCCGGCCAGCCCCGAACACCGCGATGAGGATGAACCCAAACATGCAGGTCCCAAAGAATGATAGCGTGCAAGCTATGATGACCTATGTTGCGCAAATGTTGCAAAACCAGGGACCATATGGCGGTTGGAAGTCGGAAGTTCTAATCAAGACTCGGGCGACGAATGTTTATCAAATGTAAGTTGCATTTTCTGCTTGCGAAACTGGCTTTGCGCTTTTATTCTTATCTGGTCTAACGTCTATGTGAATTAGGATCACCTCCCTCCGTTTGATCCAACCTCGTATCGACCTCCACCAAGCGGCCCAGGCGGCCATGAGTTTCGAATTAAAAGCATTCACCAAAGCCAACGAGAAGAGTGAATATGAGAAGGAATGCACCGAGAAGCTTCTTCACATCAGAAACACCCGAGAGAGACAGGCCGCTGTCGCTTACCAAAGTGGAATGATGCCCCAGACGGGTGCTGGACAAAATCAGATCCCAGGCGCTTTTCCACAACACATCAATCAGAGCATGCAGGGATCCCCGGTTTCTGGCCAGCAGCAGATGGCAATGGGCATGAATGGGCAGAACCAGCAGGCAGCAATGCAGCAGCAACAGCGACAGCAACAGCAGTCACAGGCGATGCTCCAACAGCAGCAGCAACAACAGCAACAGCAGCAGCAACAACAGCGGCCCCAACAGCGCCCTGGAAATGGTATTCCGATGGTCGACGACCTCAGCACCCTTTCAGCCCAGGATCTTGACCACGTCTCTCGACTAGCAAACGAGATGTTGAACAAAACCACCCCGGAAGATATGGAGAAGATCAAATTGAACCTGTCAAACATGACACCCGAGCAGCGGCAATACCTGGCACGGAAAAACCTTGAGCCAATGACCTATTTTTTCCGCTCTCAGGCGCTCAACCAGATCAGACGCCATCGTCGCGCTCGTCTGGAAATGGGGGGACGTGCACCAAATGCCGGGGTGGATGCGAATGGTAACATGATCGGCGACCCCATGATGAATTCTCAGCATCAGCGGCAGATGCTTCAAAATATGCTAAACCTTCAACGAAATTCCGCATTTCCCGGAAATCCTGGCCAGACGATGGAACCCCCAAACTTCATTGGCAATGTGGAAAACATCCAAGGCCAACAAGCCGATGGCCTGCGCTCACAGGAGGCCGGTCAGCTAGTCGTTCCTGCAAGCTCTTCCCAAATGAACCAGCCCCCATTTCCGAATAATAACAATAATATGTTCCCACAGCAGATGGGTCAGAATGGCCAGGCAAATATGAACGCCAACAACCCAAACGCCCAGGCTCAGTTCCTTGCCCAGCAGCATCTGCAGGGTGGGTCCAATACTCCCCAGGATCGAATGCAGTTCCAGGCACAGCAGTCTCAGGCGCAGGCGCGTGCACAAGCGGCCCAGAAGGCTCAGATGGCGATGTCGGGCCATGGTGGCCAAGTGACCCCCCAACCACAGCCGCAACTGAACGGACAGAGCCCCGTTATGCCAATGCTGAATCAACCCATGGCTCCGGGTCAGATGTCTCCGGTCCAGGTTCCCGCTCAAGCCCGACCACCGTCTCGACCTGCGAACATGGGCCAGCATCCGGCTGGCGTTGCAGGACAGGCTGGGATGCAAGGTCCGCCCCAAATTCCTTCCAACATCCCGCCCCACATCCAGGAACAACTCGCTCGCATGCCTCCTGAACAGGCTCGGGCTTTTATCATGCAGCAACGTCGTGCCGCTCTCAACAACATGGCTCGAGCCAACCCCGGTCAGCAGCCGCAACTCCAACCAGGCCAGGCCCAATCGATGATGAATAACCAGATGGGAAACGCCATGATGAGAGGCTCGATGGGCGCCCCGCAAGATTTGAACTCGGGGGGAATGCCCCAAGGCCAGCAAATAACTATGCAGCAACGCCAACAACGCCAGAATGAGGTTTATAAGCTCCAATTGCTGCGGCAGCAAAACAACGGCGTGGAGATGACCCCTGAGCAAGCCAAGCAAATGGACCGCGTGTCTTTCCCACCGTCTATCCTGAACATGAATGGAACCTCGATGCAAGTTCCTAACAACGTCAAATCATGGGGGCAACTTAAGCAATGGGCAAACTCGAACCCTCAAGTTGCAAGCCCCAACGACCTCCCGCGCCTCATGATGCTCCAGAAGCTTCATCTTGGTCAACTGATTTCAGCTTCCACGAATCAAGTCCGAGACCAGAATGGCCAGGGTCCAGCGGCAACTCCATTCCAAAGCACCCAGGCGCCGTTTACGAACGCTCCAGGCTTCCCTCCTGGCCAGCAGCCCACTGCTATAAACATGGCAGCGATGCGGCCAATCTCCGCTCAGGACATCCAAATGGCTCGTCAAAAGCTTGGACCTCAGGCATCAAACTTGACCGACGAGCAGATTCAAAAGCTTCTGTACCAAAACCGCCAAAAGCAGATGATGCAGGCTGCACAGAACCGAGCAATGCAACTTGAAGGAAACACGCAGCCTGGTCAGCTAAGCCAACCGACGGCGCAACCCCCAGTTCCTGCATCACAGCCTGTCCCGCAAATCAAGCCACAGCATCCCCAACTCCCGCAACCGACTACTCAAGCGTCGAACGCAAAACCCCAAGCTGGAGCCGCGGCCAAAGGTGCTAAGGGTGCTGCCGGGAAGCAGCCCTCGAAAAAGAGACCTAGCACTGATGACACAACAGAAGCCCGAGTCACAGCTACACCCCAGATGAGCCAGCCTGTGGCTGTTCCAGGCGCCCCAGGGACAGCCCCCCAGCGACCAGGTCTCCCCTTCACGCCGGAACAGCTTGCACAAATGACTCCTCAACAACGTGCCCAGGTTGAGGCACACATGCGGAGACAGCAGTCTCAAAGTCGGGGTCAGGTACTCAGCAGAGCTGCCGCCGACGAGGCATGGAACAGGAATCTACCACCACAGGTTATGGAGGTCTATAATGACATCGCCAAGAACGCTCCACCCGCAAAGCCCATGCCTGTCTCTCCAGAGCAGAAGGCCGCAATGACCAAACAACTGCGTGAAGCCTTGGATGTTCTCGGCCGCTTGGATGCCCTTGTGCAATGGTTTGCAAAGATGCAAGGCCAGGAGAAGAATGTGAAAAATCTTCTTGCCATGGTAAGCTCTCCTTTGATAATACCTAAACGTTTGCTTACTAACTTGATCTTACTTAGCGTATCCAATTGATGAGACAGTTCAAGCCGTCGCAGGATTGGGTTGTGAATGAACATTTCACAGTTACTCCCGATTATCTTACTGGTGCTATCCTTTTTATGCGGAAGTTGTTCGCAGTAATGATTTCCCGCATGCAACAAGGTCAGCGTCCTAACGCCCCCCAACCTCCTGGCTCCAACGCCCAGGCAATGCAAGGCAACATGCCGGCACTGAACGCGACCAACTTGCAGCAGTTGCAGGCACAGGAAGAAGCTCTACAACGAGCCCGGCGCGCCTCCAGCCAGTCTGTTGTAAATGCCCCAGCTGCACCTTTCGCGGCTCCGTCTCCCAGGGGTGTCCCTCAGTATGCCCCAGGCGGACTTGCTCCCGAGAATCTCAAACTGCCCCCTCCAAAAAAGCGAAAGCAGTCTCATGGCGTGGCATCATCCCCGATCCAAGCCACTGCAGCTCCTGGCGCAGCAGCAAAATACAATAAAGCGGTGGCGGACGCCACCTCCAACGCGGCAGCCATGGCAGGTGCTTTCAAATGCAGTGTCGTTGAGTGTCAACACCACTACCAAGGATTCCCTACGCAAGCCGTCTTGGACAAGCACATTGAAGAAAGTCATCAACCTGAGGAGGAAGAGATGATCGAGGATTATCTCAAATATTACCATGAAAGTATCTCGATGGGTCTTGGACTGGACCCTAATGATAGTCTGGAAGCCCAGCAGATGGCCACAGCCGGACCAGTGCCACCCTCCACCAAGCTTAGTGCAGCAGCTTCTCCCGCGAAACAAAATATCGCTACCCCTCTCATTGCCAACAACACGCCCATGGCCAGGGTCACTAGCCAATTCGGAGCTAAGACCGCGTCTCCTGCTGCATCAACTCAGCTGCTCACTCCGCAGTTATCGTCTGCCAAGGGAACGAAGCCTGCTGGTAAGGATGAAAAGAAGGATGTTATCAAATTGGAGGACAGCGATATAAAGGATCCCTGGGCAGAGTGTCCTACCTCGCTTGACACAATTCATGATGCCTTTTCAAACCTCGCGAGCAAGGATCTGCCTCACCTGGGCTATGATTCGCTCGAGGACTTCGATATCAATGAAGCCACTCCGGTGGATGATGACTGGGCTGCCTTTGCTAGTCTGACTCCTCCAGACGAGGCCGAGGAGGCTGCTTTCCTTGAGAAGTTTTATGAACCTTGGGACGACGAGTCCATTGCATTGGCTGCGGCGAGGATCCGGATCCCGCCTGAGATCCAGGTCAAGGGCAAAGGACCTATGGGACAGCTTGAGGTTGACTGGGATGCTGTTGCGCGTTACGAGAGAGAAGGCATTCCCATTCGCATGACTTGAAAGTGAAATTCCTGGTTTGTATTGAGAGCATGTACACATCGCTAGTCCATGAAGGACTGAGATTATGAAACATTTTTTTTCGGCGGGTTCGTTTCCAGCGTACATATGGTTCAGGAGCGATGCGTTTGTACACTACGCGAGACTCCTGGTTAATTTCTTGTGATCTTTTGAGATCAACCCTTTGGGATTCTAATTATTTTTGGACTTTGTCCATTGGCCTCAGCGATGGCGTTTGGAGGGAAAATCCAGGATCAGGCTCTTAACTGGATTAATTATTCATTTGGAATATACAAATTTTTTTTTTTTGGAAATCTTGGAGTTTACCTAACATTTGCGAGTGTATTTAACACAAAGAGTATAGGGCCGTGGCTTGTGACGTCTTTTTAGTAGTCTTTTTAGTAGTCTCAGATATTCCACAACATAGATGTGTTTTTAGATATTTCTTCCCCTCAGTTTTATAGGTAGACAATAGAAAAAAGAAAGGTAGCATTCGTGTAAGAGACCTATAACCTTTGATATAGTTGGTTGTAGTCAATAGTGAGGCCAAAGATGTCGGTGGAGTCCGAGGTACCGTGACAAATTGTTATCTTCCGATAAGCTCATCAGCTCATCTCCGCTTTGTCTCACTGATCCCCCCCGAGGTCCCTTTGATCACTTCACCTTTTGGATCTTGACACTTGGAAAACTATTACAGTGGGACAAGATGGCAAACAATGCCCTCATTCCCTTCCTGGTCACGATGATGCTCGTGACCGGGGTGTGCAACACCATTCTCAACAAGTATCAGGTGCTGTCCCTCGATTCAGAACTACAAACACGAACTAATCACCTCATCTTAAATAGGATATGCAATGCGTGCGGAACTGCGATTCCCCAGATCCTAGCCAGCGGAAGCTGTTCGAGCAGCCAGTCATCCAAACGTAGGTTTTACCTGTTTATGATACAGCTTTGCAACACTCGCGATTAATGCTGACACCAGGCGGTAATACAGAGCCGTAATGTTTATGGGTGAAATGGGCTGTTGGCTGGTTGTCGGCTTAACCTTCCTCTACCGCCAATACATCGCACCCCGCCTATCCAGTGACCCCTCACCCCTCCTAACTGGCGGATATCACCCGATAAACGGCGACGACGAAGGCATCGATGAAGATGACCACATAGTTGATGAACTCGACGGTGACAGCAGACACCCTAAGCCCCTGCCCGAAGATGATAGTCGCATCCCACTCCGCGGATGGAAGATCCTACTTCTTGCAGCGCCGTCAAGCTGCGATATCGCCGGCACAACCCTCATGAACGTGGGTCTTCTCTTTGTGGCAGCCAGTATCTACCAGATGACCCGAGGTGCCCTTGTCCTTTTTGTAGGCCTATTCAGTGTCCTCTTTCTCCGTCGCAAGCTCCAATTATACCAGTGGAGCGCCCTCTTCATTGTCGTCCTAGGTGTGGCTATTGTGGGTCTTTCTGGAGCTCTATTCAGTGGTGAGTCAGGCCACGATATCAACCAGAACGGGAGTGCTACCGATATGGCCTCGCATGCGCTCATGCAGGCGCGTGATGTCGCTCGGACCCCCGAGGCTGTCCAGGCCATCATTGGTGTGCTGCTTATTGCTGCAGCGCAGATCTTCACAGCCACACAGTTTGTGCTGGAGGAGTGGATTCTGGAGAATTACGCCATGGATCCGATCCAAGTTGTGGGCTGGGAAGGCGTGTTCGGCTTTTTGGTTACTGTTGTCGGCATCGCGATCATGTATCTTATTGTTGGACGGACCGATGCCGGCCGGTATGGCTACTTCGATATCAAGGAGGGATTGCACCAGGTTTTCAATAACAGTGCTGTTGCCATATCCAGCTTGTTTATCATGATCAGTATCGGGTATGTTTTTATCTTGCTTCTCAACTCCCTGTTCCCGCCCTCCCCTCTAACGTTTGTTCTAGTGGCTTCAACTTCTTCGGTCTGTCTGTCACCCGCACTGTGTCCGCTACCTCTCGTAGCACAATCGACACCTGCCGCACGCTCTTCATCTGGATTGTTTCTCTTGGACTCGGCTGGGAGACCTTCAAATGGCTCCAAGTTGCCGGCTTCGTGCTTCTTGTCTATGGAACTTTCCTGTTCAATGACATCATCCGCCCTCCGCTCAAGGCTTGTTTGCCTCGTGACAGCAGAGAGGGAGAGGTGCTGCTCCCCGAAGGCCCCATTGAACACATATGAGTAGCTTGGCTACTTGTTTTGGACTTGCTCTTCATATTATATACCATTCTGGTGTCCCGGTATATTACGGTTCTTAGATTGGGCTTATGCCATGGATTTTGGATAAATCATACGACTTTGCATTCTTTTGTTTCCTGTGATGGAGTTATCTCTTTTTGTTTTTGGGGATTATATACTGACTTTTGATTTTTTTTGCGGAGACTGCAGTTGATCTGAACTCTCTTTTGAAGTTATAGAGCTTTGCTTTTGGTCGCCTATTGCATTTCGGTTTAAGTTTTTTGGATTTAGTCCGCGTTATAGGTGTGACAATGCACTTTTAACATATACTACTAGTAGCATCTAATGAGTACATGTAGGAACGCACCACTGGTACAACTCTCATATGGGCTATTAGCTACATGGTCTTGATGTAATACTCCCTGCACTTTCTCATACGCTAAAACTTTCACCTGAAACATGTACAATAAGAACAATCCCTCCCTCCAAGTAGTGAAACGAAGTACAAGAGAAAAGGAAATCAATGGCAAAACAAAAGTCTAGATAGATAGTAAAAGCGAGAAAGGTGCAGAGAACTAGGGAGTATAGAACTGGATTTGACTGTTCATGGGAAAATTAAACATTCGTTCGGATGAGATTTTGGCATCACTGCCGCCAACTTGATTTACGGCTCGGACCAGTCCACTTGGTCGGTGACGGGGTCTCCACCGTCGCGGGCGGAAGTGACACGAAGACGGAGGCGAAGTTTGGCAGGAAGACCCTGGAAGTAATAGGTTAGTTTGAGACTCAATAGTTAAAGTGTAAGATAGGAAGGAGAAACTAGACATACCCCATTCAGAGCGGTCACGCGCATTGATTGTGTGCCCTCGTCACCGGCCTCTAGATCAGCTTTGCTAATTGCGCTCAGCTGCAACCGCTGACTCTTTGGCACGGCAGCCTGCAAGCCGACGCTAGTGAATCGGTCGAAGTTGGAGTCGTTGCGGAAGCGCGCCAGGATCTGGGCGTTGTTGCCGCTTCGCTGAACCTGCAAGGTAAGGACAAGGCCATCCTTGTTGAGCGCTGTGTGTGCAGGGGTTGAAGCAGTGACAGGTGCGGGAGAGGTGGAGGGCGAAGGCGCAGAGGCACCCATGCCTCCTGCACCTAGCAGATCCATCGAGGCAGACGCTTGTGTGGGCTGAGGGGATGGCGAAGGACCGTTGGAGCTAAACAGGTCCATGATGGCGCTGTTCGGGTTCTTTTGGCCAGCAGGACCCGGCGAGGGAGATGACATGCCCGAGTCTCCGCCAAGAATGTCTGCCAGCAGATCGGCGGTGTTCGATCCGTTCGAGGTAGGGCTCGCAACAGGGGCGTCGGACCCACCAACCAGGTCAAGGAGCAGGTCATGCTCTGCAGGTTTGGCGACCTTTGTTGTCGACTTGCCACGGAGAATCTTACTCTGGCGTTTCTTAGCAGCGGGGGTAGCACCTAGTACCCGCTGTTCCTCACGGATCTCAGGAGCGGGCATCCGCTCGAGTACACCACGGCGGATTTGATCGTAGCCGAAAAGATTAGTGTATTCAACGGCACGCTGTTGAATTTCTACACTCAGGTCTGCGGTTCGGCTGGAAAGCAAACGGCGTAGGCGTTCAATTTGGGCGGGATCCGACATGCGCACAGTAAGCTTCATGGATGCAGTGATGATGTATTCGACAGCAATCTGGGAGGCATAGGTGCTGTTGAGAATGTTGGTAAAGAGATCGACAAGATCACTCTCCCGAACCTCCTTGACCAGTTCCTCTTCCTCGTACTGACCACCCTGAAGTAGGCTATCGGCATATTCACCAATGGTCCACGTCGCAGCAAGTGTAAGACCCTCTTGTGAGATGTCTTCCTTCAATGACGAGTAGAGCTTTTGTACCGCATAGGTCTGCAGATCAGGGGTAGTCGCAATGAGACGGACGAATGAGGACAGAATCTGTTCTTTGACGTAGTTCCCAGCCAGCTTTAGAACCCGCAAAATGGTGTCCATGTGCCAGCGCTTGTTGGGTGCAAAACGATCGGCCGCGATGCCTATCTGTGTCGTCATGACGGACTTGAATTCGTTATCGGCCACCTCCAGGAAGGCCAGCAGTTCCCGCACTAGCACCCGCACATTATCTTCGTTGATCAACATGAAGCTGAGATCGAGCGCTCGCCGGCGAATGCTAATATCAGGATCCCGCAGGCATTCCAAGATCGTGTTGCGGTGTCTTTGCACTGCATTTGGTTCAATTGCAACAACCTTATTCAGGGTGTTCAACGCAACGTAACGGATATTATTGTCCTTGTTAGCCAGGAATTTGCCGAGAATGTTGACGCCCAGCACCCTCAGACCAGAGTCGGCTTCGATGTCCAGAATCGTAAGAACGGCCTCATATAGAATAGAGTTGCCGACGTTCTTTGAGGAATCCGTATTGGTGGCCACCTGGGCCAGGATGTCGTTGATCAATTCGCTGGTGGCCACATCTCCCCGACCCAATACACGCAAGAACCGAAGGATCTTGACTTGGAGGAAAGGATCTGTGATACCGGATACATCATGCTCGGGGGCATACCCGGAGGTTGTCAGCCCCTTCAAAGCGCGAACCAATCCTCCAGCCAAGGGCCGGAACATTTCGATCACGCCCGCGGGTCCTCCTTCCTCTTCATCCTCTTCTTCCGCCTCACATAGATCAATCGCTAGTGTCAGCCCACAGAGAAGAACGCCATGGTTCCGGTCCGACAAAAGGTTCTTCGCTTTCTCGAGGAAGTGCTCGTACAGGTCTGGAACCTTGCGACATATCCGCATGGCACAGATCGCTGCTTTCCGTCGAATATAGGGGTTGGCGGTCGACATGAGGGTTTCGACTTCGGGGAACAGATCACGAGACATTTCAACCGAGGCAATGTTTCCGAGTGTACAGAGAGCGAGACCGACGATATATTGGTTGGAGTGGTTAAGGTCACTGCATTTTAATTAGCACAGAGTCAGCCAGTCAATTACAGCGAGACTTACTTTTTCAAAGAATTGGTCACCAGTGTCAGCACCTCTTGGTTCTCATCTAGCAACAGCATGGTCCCCAGATACCCCAACCGCTTGTCAGCGAACCGGTGTGAGGCAAGTAGTTTCAGACATTCGATCTGGCCGAAGTGAGTCCGTTCGCCGAGAGTGAACAGATACAAGAGCTTGGCGACATTATTTCTCCTAACAATGGTTAGAGGTCGATCGGATAATCGAATGAGATGGATGCTGAAGCTAACCGGATGCCGGAGTCATGACTCTCTTCTCGAAACGAGGCGCGAATAGCGGCGCTTTCTTTTTGGATGACTGCACGCTCATCGGCGATGGTCTTTGCGGATCGAACATTACGAATGAATTGCTTGACTATAAACAAATTGGATTGCGTGGTCAGAATGCATTTCAGGGGAGAGGAGGGGCGGCGGGCAGCACTTACGGGAAGACATGGCGGCCAGAGGGACCCCCGACGGGGCGAGGAGGAGAAATATTCAATGGAAAAGAAGGGGCAAAGTCAGGCGCAAGAAGGTAAACCAAGCACCGCGCTCATAAAACCAATGAAACGAAGAAGTATCAAGGCTGTTGGTGTGGAGTTCTGGACTGTTGTATTATTGATTCCTCATGGCAGTCGACCTGGCATCTTGGCATGGGGCACTAGTATGGAAGAAGACTAGCTTGGCTACCCTGAATCACCTGACTCTTTGATACCAATTCAGCTACACCGCCTTTGGATTGACACCTGACCTCGGCAGTATGACATAAGTGGCAGATCTGGAAATTACAAGTTCCGAGGAACAATACAGGCACATAACACGTCTGACATTGAAAGGATCTATAATGCTTGGAGAAAAACAAAGTAGAATATACAAACATGATAGATATGAAATTTGACAGGCCAACAATTCAACAGTTCGACAGTTTTCCTCTCTGAACATACATATGTATTGTCGATATAGTTCATATGTAAGTTGTATAACGTCCATGGGTACTATAAAGGCAGTCTGACGTAGTGGCCCGTGGTTTCGAGTTTCCAGCGAGTCCAAACAAAACCAAACAGACCTCGGAAGCTGACCACACATAATCTTGGGTGTTTCCAAGTCTCCATCTCAGTATCTTCAATGTGCAAACCCCCCGATTCTGCAATTGTGTCCACATAGGATGTCTAGCGCCATCGCCCAGAATGAATCTGCAACTCTCCGGCCGCGCGCCGTGCCGCTACAGCCTGATGCAAAGTCCGACATGGCTCTCCCCCTTCCAGTGGACAAGCTAGCCCAGGATACGAGGTAATATGCCCTCAATTTGCACCGGATTGGATGCAGGGAAAATGGCTAATCTGTTTGTCGCAATCGCAGTGGCCGCTCAACTCCTATTTCCGAAGATGCTCCTCCATCGGCACATTCGATCTCATCCGCGAGGAAGCAAGTCCGCGCTCGGAATCGCCTGTTTTATACTATAGACTATGTGCCTCGCGTGTCGCATTTTGATCCCGATAGCGACTATCACAATTTCCGAGGGTTCTTTACTCTCTTTTGGATTGGCTTGGCCATCATGGTTGGGACCAGTGTCTTGCGCAATATTAAGGATACCGGATACCCTTTACAGGTGCGCGTTTGGACTCTCTTGACGGCCAATGTGTGGGGAATGGGGCTGAGTGATGCGGCCATGGTGATGAGCTCAGGACTTGTCCTGCCTATGCACCGGCTGTGGCGGGGTGGTCCACAGTGGATGCGATGGTCACGCGGGGGTATGATCTTACAGAGCTTGGGTGAGGCATTTTGGTTGGTCCTATGGATAAAGTGAGTTTGTGGCTTGTTTGAAAACTGGAACTCGGAGGATGGCTGACATGTAAAAAAAACAGCTGGCCCTTTATGATGCAGTGGACCTGGACTGCGCAGGTGTTCTTCACGCTGCACACTCTGACCATTCTAATGAAACTGCATTCATACGCTTTCTATAATGGACATCTCAGCGAGACAGAGCGCCACCTTGCCTCCCTCGATAAGCCAGGCTCAAAGTCACCTGAGCCCCCGACTGCCATTCATTACCCGGAGGTACACCGACGTCGGCCGTCAATGAAACAGCATGACGAAGACCAGCCGGGAGAGCCACTGGAGAGGCTGCGCGAAGATCTGGCTACGGAGTTGACCTCCCCGCTAGGCAACATCTCATACCCGCAGAACCTGCATGTTGGAAACTATGTTGACTTCCTCTTTTGCCCGACCCTTTGCTATGAGCTAGAGTATCCCCGCCGACTGGAGCGACGCTGGTCAGAAATTGGCTGGAAGGCCGCTGCTGTATTTGGTTGCATCTTCCTGCTCACCCTGACAAGTGAGGAATTCATCGTCCCCGTGTTGGCAGAGGCTAGCGCCCAACTCCGTCTCTTCTCCAACATCACAGACAAGGCCCTCGTCCTTGCCGAAACTATCAGCATGCTCCTCTTTCCCTTCATGATCATCTTCTTGCTGGTGTTCCTCGTCATCTTCGAATATGTGCTGGGTGCGTTTGCAGAGCTGACTAGGTTCGCTGATCGTCACTTCTATTCAGACTGGTGGAACTCCTGTGACTGGTAAGCCGAAATTGCTGTTCTATGCATTAGGAAATCTATTAACCAGGTTTTACGTAGGATGGAATTTTCTCGCGAGTGGAACGTTCCTGTCCACCACTTCCTCTTCCGCCACGTCTACTGGCCCGCCCGATCCAACTTCTCCCAGCCTGTGGCTATGGTCATCACATTCCTCGTCAGCTCTATTTTCCACGAGCTAGTCATGAGCTGCATTACCAAGAAGCTTCGAGGATATGGTTTCCTGGCCATGATGCTTCAGCTGCCTATTGTTGCAATTCAAAAGTCTCGCTTTTTCCGTGGCCGAACAATCCTAAATGTAAGCTGTTATTTGTTTGCTCGATATTTTGCGGTTCTCACTGACTTTGTTCCTAGAATGCCTTCTTCTGGTTCTCAATGATCTTGGGTCTGTCTATGGTAAGCTCTACATCTTCACTTTGAGATTTGCAACATTGCAGTATATTTGACTCTAACCATGATTTATCCATAGATGTGTGCATTCTATGTCCTAGTTTAGAACCAAGACTCGGCGCGTATGCGCTTAGACACGGTGAGCTAGCAAGGAGTCAATTGGGCCAAGGAAGGTATGGAACCCTACCGGCTTGCTATTAATATATGATACCTTACTAGGTGTCCCCCGCTCTTGTACATATGTTCGGTTATCTTTATATCCATAGTGTGCTTTGATATCGATATTAGTTGTAATGAAGTATACCACTTGGGCACTTGTTTGTACCGTCGTAAAAAGAAAATTCAGCCATAGATGCTCGGCTATGAGAATATGTTGTCATCACCCTAAGCTCTGAAAGCTTCTCTGTCAGCAGAAACAGGTTCATGAGATCTAGTATGCATTTGACAAGTGAATCTATCCTTGTTAACTTGTTGCCTCAAAATATGGGATATGAAGCTAAGGTTACCTGTACATCCAGGAGGAGAATTGTCATACGAAAAAGGCCACCAAAGGCAGATCAGTATACTGTGGCGCTGCAGTAAAAGCAATGCGATTCATAGAAACACTTAATATAACCGATTTGGCTCAAATTCTGACGTTGAAGGAACATTAGGTTATTGATAATTGGTTCAAATGTAGCCTGCGCGGCTCAAATTCCGATACTCGGCTCAGCGGAGCGGGGCGTGGATAACAATGTGAAAAGAATGGAAATGCTGTCGGTTTGTACGACGAAGAAACGAGGTCTAAAACGGAGAAGTTAGATAGTTTTCAGTGCAACCAAGTGACGAGGTGACCCGGAATATATCTTCGGTGGATCAGAAACAGGCATGGCATATAAGTAGTCCGATATGCTGCATTTCGCTTCGCTAGGCGCCTGGCAAAACTTTCTATTCCAGAAAGCCTGACAAATTAGCTTGTTCTCTTGTCCACATATAACAATTGGAAGCTTAAGACGATAGAAAGCTAGTTGCTTTAGCATGGTAGAATTGCCGTATTCTTCTCATTGTGCATCAAACACCATACAAGTGAGTCCCGAGGAACTCTGATAACTCTGGTCTAATCAGATCGTGGACACTCTGCCCATGCGCTATTCCATAGCACGCATCAATGTCACGATAAGGAATATGTCATAGGGTGACCTCCAGTAGGGCCTTCATATTCCCCAAGGCCGGCCAGTGACGTGGCATCGAGTAGTTGCACTCTTTGAAAATACCCCATCGGAGTCGGATATAATGAAGCGAAGAACTACTCGTGCATGACAGGGGCAACAGTAGATATTTTGAATTCCGGGGCTCACTTCAGCCTATGAACAGTGGTTGTTGCTGTCCGGAGCTAGCACATTCCCTTGCTGTCAAGGCAGTTATTGATAAAGCTTAAGCATATATTCAGCTGTGACTGTGTGATATCTTGTTTTGCTCGTGCGATATGATCCGGACAGCCCGCATCATTGTGCTTTCGTGGCTTGGGATATTCAAAATTCTCCCTGCGTGTTATTGACCTGCTTAGGACGAACATCACCGAATGTCACGATGATCCACCAGGTAGTGGTAGCATCACAAATTTCTAAAGCACTACAAGCATGTTAGAGTCAGCTGCGAGGGCAGTGTCATAAGAAAAAATGACCAGCCCTGGAAATTAGTAGCAAACTCACAGATAACCAGAGAGATGCGGTAATTATGAAGTCGAACCTTTAAAAGTCCATATTCGGTATCCGGTTGTTTGACTTGCCAAAATAAAACATTCCGGACCGATCAGGGTCTTGATGAGTGTTGCCACAAGTTATACTAGGAAAGCGAAGAGGAGGATCGAGAGGTTCTTAATGATGGTTGTCCCCAGATCGTACCTTCCCCAGACCTTGTGTCTTCCTCAGTGAGACCAGGAGATGAGACCTATAAATGACTTCAATTTACTTTTTCTTCTTTCCTTGTCTAACTCTCAGCCCCCCTTCCCTTTATCTTGCTCCCACTGTGCTTTACAGATGGCTTATGTGCCGGATGAAACCCCTCGCAGAAAAAATGTGCTTCCGTACTAGCGAGATGGACAGGCCGAAAAAGTGCGGGCCTAGCGCCTTTTCCGCAACCCACCCTATACATTCGCTATGTCCACGGGTGGGATATCTTGTCTTCCTTATGAGACCGTTATCTGAGAGGTTGCTCTGCCACTAAGAGATCTGCCAAAGATACCCGGCCACATCAAGGCCTGCCTGTATTTGACTCAGAGGAACATTTTCTGTGATCAGGACTTCATTCAAGGTGGAGAGTCGCATCGACGGTACTCCTTAGTACATCCGAAATCGCGGGGGATCTGCAGATACCCGTCGAACCCACAGTGGCGCATCATGTATCGTGGCGTATGTCCGTGCGCAACTGGTCTGTTAACTCGATGGACTACGGGTCTATCTTCCTGGCAACAGGAAGTTGAGACGTGCTAGTACATATGCCCTCTCACATATGGATCAAGGCAACAAGGGAAGACGGATTAAGACAGTTCACGGGGCCCACTTCTGGTGGGACCCATTGTCTATAGATCATCTGCGTCTTTGACGTGCGTCTGCAATAGCCCTCCGACATTAGGTAAGTTGCGTCTATTTCATCGCATGAGGCTTTTAACAGTCAGCCATATTAAGGTTATCTCCTGCAGGGGAGAAAAAGGCTTCCGGCATCTATCGACCTCCATCCTATATTGTACCGCACAAATCGAGTTTCTAGAGTCTTTCTCCGACTCTCTCACCCCATTCAGCAAAGAGGAAAATTTTCATCTCTATTAGATTGGTGGAGCCTAAGATCTAAAAGCTCGTTTCGTTTCTCGCTGCCGTAGGTACAAACCCAGAAGCCCCCCCATGACTTATCGACCTACATATTTCAAAAACGGCCAGACCGTCGGTTTACAGGAGATCGTTTCTCGACCTAGTCATTATAAGTGCTTCGGTCGACTCAAATTCGCCCAACCTCTATTAACGCGAGCATAAATCTGACAACATGAAATGACTATTCCAAAAACCGCAGAAGTGGCAGAAGACGCTTATTTGGCTACAGTACAAAGCGGTTCAAAGAACCTGACTCACCGAGTTGGTCTTATATCTATCAACTTTAGGCTCTGTAGCTTGTTGTATCGATCTCATTTTGACTTTCTAATGAGCTTTTAAGCCTCGGCAGTCCCGAAGCATTTCTCTGCTGACTAGGAACAAGCGGAAGGTAATGTTCCATGATGGAACGCTTCTACGGGAAATCTTGTGCACACTGCACACGAACGGACAGAATTAATGCTTATCAATTGTCAAAGTTCTCTCGGTGCCATAAAAACTATAGTGCACTCACTCTTCACGAGAAGTTTGGAGGGCAGTAACTCGAAAGATTTGAGAATACAGTAGCATGAGATAAAACTGCAATAGTATCTATGCCAGAGTATCACGAGCCACATTTACTTAATCTAAAAGATAGCCAGCCTCCCTGGATCCCATTAGCGTGGGACTATTCGTTATACTATTCCCTGTTGTGATAGAGGTTGCTCGACGAGCAAGAGTAGATTGTTACCACGAATGTTGCAGGGCTACACATCCTGCGATTCGAAGCCAGACAGTCGGATTCTGCGCAAATCCTTACTTTTTATGGAACCAGATACAAGCAGAGATGGTCAGCCATCATGAAGCTAGTTGAGCTGCAAGTCGATTGAGACATATTACCAGGGCCTAATTGTATGACTTGTTATCAATCAATGGAAGACCCTTATGAAGATAGGCGAAAGTTACTCTATTAGTGCAAATCTCACTCAGAGCTCTCATCCCACGTGGGTTCTTCTATGAGATTCTGCTACAGAAAAATCCAGCGTTGGCCAGTATGTAGTATGGCTTGACACCATATATCAATTCAGTTTTTGAGGAGTTATATATCTAGAATATTTGTCAAATGCCAGTGGCATGAAACAACTGTCTACCAATATTGTGAATAGACATCTGTATTTGGAACTGGGCTCGGTGTGATGTCGGCTTGTCTTCCCCGGGCCCCCTATTGTTGTTATCAAATTAAAATACATGAACATATGAAATGTACAAATCTGCAGCACGAAAAGCTCAATTACTTGCGGTAGCCTGGCCCTTGAGAGCAAACTAATCTCATATCCCGCTAAACTTATTATTCCAAGTCGGGTGAGGACTGTCTAACAGGAATATCAGTACACCTCAATTTCAGCCCACTAGTTTTCATTAAGAGGCAAAGCAAGCATCTCGTTCAAACAGCCGAGAGTAGAATTCGGGCGAACCATTTGCCCGGGTGATGAGACGCCTACAAGGCCTTGTGGCATTATCTCCGTCGACAGATTCAGCCCATCCCACCACATATTTAATTGGAAGAGCAGGTTGCCTTTAGTGTGGGTGCTAATCATCCTCCATCCAGGCCAACGCTGGAACCAGGCCGTGCTGAATGAAAGATCTCCGATGAACAAGTATCAGCCAATTGATTCATTAGCAGCTAGGAATGATTAGAATGAAAGTTTCTTGCATTGAGTTGGTTCCTAATTCCTAAGGCGAGAAACACCAATCAAGTTCATATTGAGCCTCGTCGAGACTCTTGACAGACCAAGGCTGAACAGCCCCCAATAGTATCACAGCTCAGTAGTTGCAGTCTAAAATTTCCAAAGTTGTACTAATCGAACATTCCTAGATACATCAACAGTCTATTCTTAGAAGATCCAATCACCGTTCGTAAACTTGCGAGGCTTTCCCCGCCACTTCCAGCCCAACCTAACCCAACCCAACCAACATATCCGTCTTACATCGAAGAAAAACAGAACAAAGAAACCAACAAAGAACCAAGGTAATGGCATATCATATGAAAAAAGCATAATTCGTTAATTGTTCACCAAGGCAGCCCACGGGCTTAGCCCGGGAGCCCAACGTATAATAAAAAGAAAAGAAAAGAAAAGAAAAGAAAACGAAAAAGTTAGAACGGCGAAGGCAAAATGTAGTCACCAGTAAGCAGAGACCCCAAACAAGGACCCCGACAAGACAATTTCATACGCCACAAGTGCAGGATTTGAGGCAAGACAGATGCAACACACCATCCACACCCATCCCCGCCCTAATGCGCTAACGGCAATGACAAAGATACACCCCGGTCCTGGTCTGCTTATCCCCGCGCAGCTGAGACAAGAACCCAGGTAACACGAATGGAAATCGAAGTCTTCAAAAAAAAAAAAACGTCCCGATGCTCGGTGGAACAGGCGACGCATATGCAAAAAGCGGAGCATTAGGAACGCCCCGATTCCCTGAGATCGAAAACAGTAGATAAAGTTTTAAAATAAAATTTGAAGCGTATTGGAGGCGTGAGTTGTCGTATGTGATCGTATTTCATGAATTTCATGGGTAATTGAATTAATAAGCAGGCTGGCGTCTCCCCACAGCTGGAGGACGACCATCCTCTTCGTAGTAAGGATAATGAGGGCGTCTTGGAGCGTAATTGATATCGTCCTGCTTGTATGCCCTGGCGTATTTGATGTCCTTCTCGTTCGGGCGGGAAATGTATTCGACGTCCGGATGGGGACGAGCAGAAGGGCGTGCAGACCGAGTCTCAAAACGGGGTATGGCTTCCGCGGTGTAGGTACTGCTTCGCTTAGGTGTCGGTCGTGTAGAGGGTATGCGATCCCGGTCGGGGGATCTCGCTGAGCGATACTTTGATGACTTCGGCTCTACAACGATATGGTCGGGTTCCTTGACAACCTTGTAGCGAACTGAGGTCTTGGGAGAACTGCCCCTTGGGACCATTTCAGGGGTACTTGGACTAGAATAGCCCGAGTCATTGCGCTCGCGCATTCTGGAAGTTCGCGGTGGCAGTCGCTCACGAGACATGTCGTGCAGTGTTGGCTCACGGGTTGGCTTTGGGCGGACGAAGCCAGTGGTGGTTGCGGAGCGAGTGCTGAGGAAAGAAGGGCGGAAAGATCCCTTGAGACCTGGGGTGGTTGCGGAGGGTTGCAGCTTGGGTGGCTTGGCCTCATAAGTTCGGGTGGACTCCAGATGCTCGTAGGAATCATCGCGTGATGAAGAACGACGGCGGGTGCGGGTGGACCGTCCCGCGGATCGCGGAGTGGACAACTCTGGTTCCGCCGAGTCGTGACCATGGTACCGTCGTGGGGACTTGGAACCTTGGGCTTTGGATGCGATATAATCCTCTGCATGGAAGTACTGAGTATCCAACTTGGATTGCCAGTGATCGTCCACATCGCCATCCTCGTCGTAACGGTGTTCACGGCGACGAGAGGACTCCGATGGTCGGGATCGTGAATCTCGCTCTCGGCGGGGCGTTATTGAAGTCCGTCTGGTATGATAGCGAGGAATACTAGAATCAGATGTATCTTCGTCGGATTCTGGATAGGATCCAAATGTATCCCGCTTTTCCTCGGCCTGTCGTCGTCGCTCCTGATCGCGTGTCTTTGCACGGTCGGAATGTGTTGCCTTGGCCGTCTTTTGCTCTTCCTTCGCTTGATGATACATGCTCATCGGTGTTCGAGCCTTTTTCTTCTCTTCCGTCGGTTTCGTCTTTGGGCGTAGGCCAAACTCTTCGCATTTGCGAGCCGTGGTGGAGCGTGGTTCCTCTGTGAATCGCAATTCTTCCTCAAAGAAGACTTCTATCGGGACCCTCTCCTCCATGTAGTGGCCATTGCGGAATTCGCGAGTGCTGGCTCCACTCCCCCGCGGAGAGTTGTAGGAAGAGTCGGTTCGTCTGCGTTCCAGCAGTTCACGCTTCAGCTCGGCTATCTTGACTTTTTGGTCATGTTTAGTCCGTCGGACATCGTCTGAGAGCAGTTCATAGGCCTGTTGAACTTTCTGGAATTCATCTTGGGCAGCAATCCGCTGCGACTCATCTTGAATCTTGTCTGGATGGCATTTGAGAACTCGCTTTCGGTGGGCGGCCCTAATTTCAGTGATGTTGGCATCCTTGGCGACACCAAGTACTGCATATGGGTCTATATCTGGTGGTGTGGACATTGTGGACAATGTTTGCTTTCAATTGAATGGGATGAAAGAAGATGAAAGTGAGAGGGAAAGAAGCGGTGGAGAAGATATGGAATGTCAACAACTGACGTAGCAAAGATTCCACACCGATCCAGAATGAACTGGAGATGATTTGCAATGCAAGAAGAGATAAAGGGCAACAATATGGCCGGTTTAACCGTGAAAAGAAAGATGGGACAATGAATCAGCGGGCTCTTAGAGCAACCGAAGGGGGCGAATGACTGCGCCACAAATGGTATTTAATATGTAATATAGAGACATAGAGAGTCACATAGACAAAAAATCTTATCGAGACGTTCAAAGAAGCCAGAGATGCCCAACCTAATAACCTTCCCCTAATTTTATTAAAATCCTTACTTTCACCGGTTATTTGGTCTGAGCACTTCATCCGATTTGTTAGAAATTCTTGCCAATCAAACCTGAGTATGGTGGGGATCAAATAACACGAGGGGCCCTCTCTCCCCTCTTGAAATCGTCACGCCAATCTTTCCATCTTTTCTCGATCCAGTCCCTCCTGCATATCCCCAACTTTCATCTAATTAGTGCGGGTTTATGGCCCATTTAGGTTCGATCGCCTCACTACCTTTTTTTTATTTCTTTTTTTTTTCGCCTTGTCAAGGCACATATCCAAACTCGTTTAACCTGAAACGGGTGATTTGGTATTTGTATTCTATACGTTATAGTAAGTAAATCAGTACCTGACTTGTCCCATGGTAATGTCCCTCTTCCCGAAAGGTTCCGTGCTTAAATTTCCTTCTCTGAAGAATGTCCATGTTTCTATATATAAATCTTACAATATTTCAATGGAATGCTTTCTAGTATTGAGATCTCTAGATACAGTACGGAGTACCTTGAACCGTTCAGGCATTGATTCACACCCAATTTTCCGCTAAAACAGCTGGCACTTGTCCCACACCGGCCCCATTATACGTGTCCCTAAATACCCCCCACTCGAGACTACCTATCTTCCAACCATTAATTTGTACTTTGTAGACTATGAGACAATTGCAGACTCTCTTGTTGAAACTACTTTTTTACGGAGTACATTGTACTCCGTACTCCTGTCTCGGACCATCCGGCTCATCCACTTCCAAGTCATCTGGACCCGGTACTGCGGTCCGCGCGGCGCAGAAATTATCCAGACCGGTGCTGAACTGCGTGTGGCAGCCCTGATGACAAGTTGGCAAATGCCGAGGGATTAACTCCGCGTCAGCATTACCATATTATTACTTGATTGCCTAGATACCTCCATAGCTTTAGTTTTAATCTCATATCTATTTCTATTTAGTATCAAGGTGTCCCATATCTCAAGAGAGAAAGGCCCATCCATTCAAATTTCCGCCTCAAATATTATACCTCCATAGCCCTCATTATCTTCCCTGACTCTGTCATTTGATATTTTCCTGTGTGATAGTGATAGCGGTATACCCTTTTTTGGTCTAGGAGTGGTCGATTTATACCCAGGCAAGAACTAGACTGCACTTGCTCTTCCCAACTCAACTGCACCAGCCGAATCCATAATCCTCCGATCCCATTAGCGGTGCTTGTAAGGTCACACAGTGTCTCCATCTGAAACATAGGGTTGTAACCTTATACGCTTAAACCGTGATCTACAGATACCCCTCTTCCCTGACAGTCACGCAACCCCGCTAGGATCGGGGTCGGTGAATTCAGGATTGGATGTTGACAGCCAGGAGAAAGAGTGTATTTGTATAGTTAAAATCGTAGTAATGCCAAAAAAAGTCGAACCAGCCCAGGTAGTCAGGTAAGCAAGGTACAATTAGCGATATATGTAGACTCCGTACTAAAATGCATATATGCCGTGGCTCGAAGTTGTAGGTTTGCTACCCGGGAAACAGGAATGCAGATGCAATGCAGGCTGCAATAATGATGTCTAGTATTACCCCCTCATGTAATAATATTCTCTATTACATAGTACTTATGTTGTACGAAGTACGAAGTAATATGGCCTGGCCTCTCCGCTCAGCCACTCAATGTTTTCGAGAAACGAATGGGTTAGAGTAAGCAGCAACCCTTGTGAGAAGCATGTGTTTCCCACGAGGGAGAATGTATTCCACAAATCCCTGAAGAACCGAAAACCCAAATTCCCAACCTATGATTAATACCTGATCGGCCGTACATAATCACATCGGGTATCAAGAAGAGAGTGCATTTGCTCAAGTTATGATCTTTGCCCAGACTCCACTAACAGGTCGTTTGGAAGCGCTGTGTTTTGAGTTTGGGAGATCCTCATTGCAGATGACTTGTTTAAAAATGAACATATCAAAGTTGTGATATCATAGGCGCGTGTGGCTTGATGTGATTGAGATCGGTCAGATGGGTTTATATGCGGGGTATACATGAGTGGTGTTTGTATAGTTTGGAAGGGGAGCGAATCGTGATGATTTCTTTTTTTTTTCTTTTTTCCTTTTTCTTTTTTCTATTAATCTAGTGAGGAAAATCTATAAAAGTATTCCAATATGGAGCTTATGCTCAAGTTGGGTTGATAATCTGACAGGCTCACCTGGAGGACAATGCGCACAGTTTAAGAAATGATGTAAGCATAGGTAGTCTGACAGCACTAGGATCGTGCATCAAGTCACTAGCCGACCAATGTTAAAAATCATGAAGCATCAAGGCATCCAACCACCAGAATTAACAGGGCCAAAGCCCAGGTCAGTGTATGTCCCAGGGAAATGGTAAAATCTGGCGTCAAGCCACCATGCACGGTCAAAGCAAAGGGAAGATTGCCGTTACGATCGATGGGGCCAGAATAAAACGCAATTTCCCAAAGTTGCTTAATTCCATACACATTCATCCGTTCGCGACCGCGTGGTTGTCCTGCCACACGGGAAGTTCAAGATCAACCACAATCGGCGAATTGAACCGTTTGCCCCCCTGGTGAGGCCAACTAGTGGATACGACAGCGGCGTTGACAATGCAGGTCTCCTTTCTTAGTGTTTGCAAGGCGTAATCAAAATCCCGGCTACTGGAGCCAGGGCTACCCGCACCCAGGGACAGATGAGCGCTCGGCGGGTTTCGTGGACTTGCCTTTTCAAGAACTCCAGCAGATGACTCTGACCCTGGTGAGGCTGATGGCATTGGTTGTCTCTCTGCCAGATCATGTTGCCTTTGCCCAGGGTACGAAAATCCCTCGTTGTCTAGTCGTTTATCCCGTTTGCCAGTCAAATCAACAAGGCTCTGTTTCTTGCTTCCCACGGGTGGCAGAACGCCCCGAGTGGCATGGTCAACTGAATCAAATTCTGGCTGTGTTTCTGTTTCTGTCTTGGTAAGCTTGCCTCGCCAGCGAATTCGTTCGTACCCTCGCCCTTCATGCACATGGCCACAAACAGCTAAGTGTGGCCTGATGAGGCTCAATGTACTACGAAGCGCAGCACACCCAACGAACATTCCGTTCGGTTTCTGGTCGCAGTGTGATTGTGGTGGCGTATGCGTGACGAGGATGTCAGTGTCGATTGGTATCTGACCCCACAGCGCAGCAGCATCATTTGATTCGTATCCGAATGCCCAGTTTCCTTGGGATGGCGAGTATGGGGACCCAAATATTTTAAATACTGTGTTTGGTCCGTCCGCTCGCGTCAAGCGAATCAGGGCGGGCTCATGGCGAAGTAGGACGATCGAAGGCGACTCCGTGATGAGTTTTAGGCAGTGATGTGAGTCTTCGAGGAATTGGCCGTGGAAGCTTTGTCCGTGCTCTCTGTAGAATGTTGGGTCTAAAGTGACATCGTGGTTGCCTGTTCAAAAGGTTAGGGGGTTGGGGTCGACGTTTTCCTGCTAACGAAACGGTGCATTGTGGCGAGCAGCGAAGATAAAACTCCCATTAATGGCGGGGATACATCAAGTGTGAACTGGGCGCGTGAACAAGATATTGAAGGACTGACCACCAACTATGATTTTGATTTCAAAGTCGGCCTTGCAGATCCAATCCATTGTCCTGCGGAGCTCTTTCAGGCTTCCATTGTTTGTCAAGTCGCCTGCATGAATCAGGACATCCCCTGCTGGTAGTTTGAAGCCGGCTTCGGAGGGCGTATATCCGTGTGTATCAGAGACGCAGACAAAACGCGTCTTTTGTCGCATGACTGGAGCATATAGAGGACCCTGCCTCAAGGTGTAATATTGAATGGAAATCAAGTCGGGTTGTTGGTGTTTAGTGGGATCGCAAGTGAATAGGAAGAGTGGGACATGAGGCCCAGTGGAAAGTCTCGTTAGCCTTGGTTATCTCTACAAGGAAGTTCCTTTGGGGGAAAAAAAACAATGGCCTCGACCCGCGCGGGCGAGGTTGGATACATTAGTCATCGGACCCAATGTTTCCACCTGAAGTTGCCTAGATCATAGATCTGGTAATCGAACAAGAACGATAAGACAGACTTTCAATGTGCTTACAACAAGAAACAGGCTTACATGGACGTGAAATGAAGGTTTATAGTTAATTATGTTAGTATTAATATGAAGTACTTGTAAAGAACACTGGAATTATATCAACTCTCCGTTCCTTGCAACTTTCAAGATAATCAGTCGATCTTACAATAACTTCTAGAACAGGGTATATCAGCCCTAAGACGATGCCCTAACGGCACAAAGAAAAGAGAATCATCATGGCGCACAGTGAGAAATAAAAGTATTACATAATACGATACTGAGCGGAGTCAGGAGAGACACAACACGTGATCTACATAGCCCCTGATTGGTCATGCTTAGGGCTGCGACCCTCGCCATTAACACAAAGTGAGCGGACCCTCGCTTAGCCCATTCTCATCGAGCCATCCGACTTCGTTGTGTGCGTCGACTTGACACCCACGACAACAACCGCCGACAACATCCATCCCACGGGACATTAGATCACCAGGATGTCCTCCTTCGAATCAGTGGTGCGTTTATACCCAACGACTTGAGTGCCGCCACTCTCGCCTCCAAAGTGTCCATATCGAATCTGTCGCTGACTTGAATTGTTT